TCTCTCCGTGACTCCCTTGTCCGCTCCACACTCCCCTCCAGCTCCACCACACCTGGCACTTTTCCCTGCAACCGCAGGAAGTGCTACACCTGCCCCCATACCTCCTCCCTCACCCCCATCCCAGGCCCCAAGAAGACTTTCCACATCAAGCAGATGTTCACCTGCACATCTGCCAATGTGGTATACTGCATCCGCTGTACCCGGTGTGGCTTCCTCTACATCGGGGACCGCTTTGCAGAACACTTACGCTCGGTTCGCAACAAACAACTGCACCTCCCAGTCGCGAACCATTTCAACTCCCCCTCCCATTCCTCAGACGACATGTCCATCCTGGGCCTCCTGCAGTGCCACAACGATGCCACCCGAAGGTTGCAGGAACAGCAACTCATATTCCGCTTGGGAACCCTGCAGCCCAATGGTATCAATGTGGATTTCACAAGTTTCAAAATCTCCCCTCCCCCCACCGCATCCCAAAACCAGTCCAACTCGTCCCTGCCTCCCTAACCTGTTCTTCCTCCCACCTATCCCCTCCTCCCACCCCAAGCCGCACCTCCATCTCCTACCGACCAACCTCATCCCGCCCCCTTGACCTGTCCGTCCTCCCTGGACTGACCTATCCCCTTCCTAACTCCCTACCTACACTCACCTTTCCTGGCCCCATCCCCGCCTCTTCGACCTGTTTGTTTCCTCTCCACCTATCCTCTCCTCTATCCCTCTTCTATCCGCCTCCCACTCTCTCCCTATTTATTTCAAAACCCCCTTCCCCTCCCCCTTTTCTGATGAAGGGTCTAGGCCCGAAACGTCAGCCTCTCTGCTCCTATGATGCTGCTTGGCCTGCTGTGTTCATCCAGCCCTGCACCTTGTTGTCAAGGAAAACTGCGTGGCTGGTCTTTTAGTGGAAGTAACTTTGAGTGGGCAGGAAATGGGTCTTATGGATGAAACAAACGTGGTAAGGGCATGACAGAAGACTAAAGAAAGACACACATTCAGGGTTTAGGAGCTTGGTCCACCGGGCAAGCAACAGGTAGGGAAGACACACAGGCAGCTGATTGAGTATCCAATCATAGTGGCAAAATTCATGAGATACTCACACTTACTGTTGCAAACATGAGGCAAGAGGAGAGGGAGAGGTGCAAGAATGAAGTATTTAAACTACCACAGTGTCCATAGCATTCCATTAACGAAATTAGACTTTTGTCAGAATTGAAGGTTTTCATGAATATAAACTTGGTCTACGCCACAAAATATAGATTCAAATTACAAAAGTACATGATTTTAAAATCTCTTGCCCTATAGAGAGAAAAGGCAGCACAAATGATTTCTGATAGCATTTTCATTTCATGCATCATTTGGTGTGTCAAGATAAAGCTCAGCACAAGAACACAAACTGCAAGATAGTTACATAACATAGCAAAAATAATCAAGAATTTAGGCTACTTTAGAAAATCTTTCAAATTAATATTACCTGTCCATCAATGTAGGCCACTTCACCTCTCAATACAACTCGCCTGACTTTTCCTTTCACTTTCTTTCCTTCAAATGGTGTCCACTTGGACTTTGTGAATTCCATGTAGCTCGGAATGGTCCATTCTTGCTCCAAATCAACCTGCAATGCAATCACAGCATTAAAACTGTGTTCAATCAAGCTGAGCTACAAAGAGTTCCAACAGTTAACTTTTAAACTTCTTATACTTCAATGTTTTCTTTCTGCAAGAGATGACCAAATCTTGATGTTTATTTAAACAAACACAGTGTATGTTGGAGAAATTCAGCAGATTTGGCAGCATTTATGGAGACTGAAACAGTTAACATTTTGAGTCCGATATGACTGTTCTCCAGTTTTACTTAATGCTTCGAAAAGTTTGGCTTACTATTCCATCACACATAATGTGGTCTACCACTAGACAGTTCTGTAGATTTAGTAATTAGTGCTCATTGGGCCTTCCCTCCCATTTAAATTACTGACTAATATTCCTAAATGATGTGAACGGCAGGATTCTTATTAAAGGGTTTGGGACAGTCATACAGTCATTCTAGTAGTGGACAAGAGAACAAAAATGCCTAGGTGTACAGTGGGAACTCATTTACCAGGGATTCCAACTTAGTTTACCAATGTTCCACCAATTTACCATGGAACATTAACCAGGTGAGACAGATAGTCACCTTATAAGCCAGGACATCACAGACATCTTTGCCAAACTGAGATGAAGGAGAAGTTCTGGTGTTTGTCCACCTGTTCCTATTAAAATCAGGAACTGTCAGAGCAGATCTGGCACTCAGTTTCATGAACTAAAATAACTTTTAGATTGAGTTGTAGACTTTAGTACACAATTCAGAGAGCTGTATGTAGATAGCAACATAATGGCAATTCCCATATCAGAGCTTATGAAATGTTCATTTTTCACAACTGATAAACATCCTATCAGAAACCCCTCCCATTTCTATGTTTCAGCTCTTACTGTTTTATTTTTGATTCATGACGTTTTCCCTTATCTTCTTCTCCCCCACCAGTTTCTTCATTCAAAGGATCAAAAGATTCCACCATTTCCAACACAACTGCACTTACCAAACACACATGCCCCTTCCCACTTCTTAAAAAAAAAAGAATTCCCTATGAAATACCAATGTTCACCCGCCCATCATGTTTTACGCCTACACCTGCTCTTGCTAAAACACAGGAGACATATCACTATGCAGGGTCCCCAAACATTCCCTTAGTGTGTTCACGCATTTCCGCTTACTTAGTGACAGTTCAGAGTTCTCCACATGGAGACAGTCACATCTGTCCATTCCACACACTATGCTCCTTGTAACGCTTCCAAGTTCCTATCACTGTCCAACTCTGGCCACTTTCAAACAGTTTCAAATACTAAGCTCAAAATAGATTAAAAAGAGCATTGAATTTCTGCAGGGCTTTTCCCTCTTATCCATCATAACTTTGATGAAAGAGTTATGGAAACACAGAGAACAGAACTATGCAATTGCCTTGGCTCTGCTGACAAAGTTATTGTGGATGATTGGAAGATTTCCTGTAAAAATTCAAACCTTTGTTCTATTGGCACTTTGCAGCCATTTGGTCTCAATACTGGCTGAAACATAGAACTGTTGCAGAGCAGGCTGTGGTTATTTGGACTACTGTGTTTGTACTAGGATTGGTTCACTCTTTGAGCAGTGCTGTGGTGTTTCTACAATATGGAGACTGCATTGGTTCAAAAACATGGTTCACCAACACTTTCACAAAGTCAAGAAATGTTATGCAATAAATGACACACATGCTCAGTTCCCCAGAAACTAATTTAAAAATCTCCAGAATGGTTCAAGCACTTCGGCATTTCCAGCCTGCCTTATAACCGTGTTTAGAAAAAATTAAAATATCAAATTTTCTTTTCTACTTATTTGTGTGATGTGGGTGTCACTGACCGGCCAGCATTTATTGCCCGTCCCTACTCGCCCTTGAGAACTTGGTGGTATGCTGTCTTCTTGAACCGCTGCAGTCCACCTACTATGGGTTGACCCACAATGCCATTAGGGAGGGAATTCCAGGATTTTGACTCAATGACAGTGAAGGAACAGCGATATATTTCCAAGTCAGGGCGGTGAATGGCTTGGAGGGGAACTTGGAGGTGGTGGTATTCACATACATTTGCTGCCCTTGTCCTTCTAGACGGAAGCAGTCGTGGGTTTGGAAGATGCTGTCTGAGGATCTTTGATGAACTTCTGCAGTGCAGAAGTTGTAGATAGTACACACTGCTGCTACTCAGCACCAATGACAGAGGGAGTGGATGCTTGTGGATGCAGTGCCAATCAAAGGGGCTGCTTTGTCCTGGACGATGTCAAGCTTCTTGAGTGTTTTTGGGGCTGCACTCATCCAGGCAAATGGGGAGTATTCCATAACACACCTGACCTGTGCCCTGAAGATGGTGGACAGGCTTTGGGAAGTCAGGAGGTGAGTTACTTGCTGCAGTATTCCTAGCCTTTTACCTGGTCTTGTAGCCACTGTGTTAACGTGGTGAGTCCAGCTAAGTTTCTGGTCAATGATAACCCCGAGGATGTTGATAGCAGGGGATTCAGTGATGGTAACACCATTGAATGCAAAGGGGTGGTGGTTAGATTGTCTCTTATTGGTGATGGTTACAGCCTGGCATTTGTATGGCACGAATGTTACTTACCACTCATCAGCTCAAGCCTGGATATTGTCCAGATTTTGTTGCATTTGCTTCAGTGTCTAAGGAGTTGCGAATGGTTCTGAAAACTGCACAATCACCACCAAACATCATCACTTGTGATCTTATGATGGAGGGAAGGTTTTTGATGAAGACGGTTGGGCCTAGAATGCTACCCTGAGGAACTCCTGCAGAGATGTCCTTGAGCTGAGATGACTGACCTCCAACAACCACGACCATATTTCTATGTGTCAGGTATGACTCCAGCCACTGGAGAGTTTGCCCTCTACTACCCACTGACTCCAGTTTTGCTAAGACTCCTTGATGCCACACTCAGTTGAATGCAGCCTTGATTTCAAGGGCTGTCACTCTCACCTCACCTCTGGAATTCAGCTCTTTTGTCCGTGTTTGAACCAAGGCTGTAATGAGATCAGGAGCTGAGTGGCCCTGGTGGAACCCAAACCGGGCATTACTGAGCAGGTGCTGCTGGATGGTACTGTTGATGACACCTTCCATCACTTTACTGATGACTGAAAGTAGACTGATAGGGTGGTAATTGGCCAGATTGGATTTATCCTGCTTTTTACGTACAGGACACACCTGGGCAATTTTCCACATTACTGGGTAGATCTCAGTGTTGTAACTGTACTGGAACAGCTTGGCTAGGGGAGTGGCAAGTTCTGGAGCATAAGTCTTCAGTACTATTTCCAGAATGTTGTCAGGGCCCATAGCCTTGGTAGTAGCCAGTGTTTCCAACGGTTTATTGATATCATGTGGCGTTACTAGAATTAGCTAAGACTGGTATAGGTAATGTTGGGGACCACTGGAGGAGGCTGACACGGATTATCCACTCGGCATCTCTGGCTGAACATTGCTGCAAATGGGGCTTCAGCCTTATTATTTGCACTGATGTGCTGAGGTCTTCCATCCTTGAGGACGGAGATATTTGTGGAGCCTCCTCCTCCAGTGAGTTGTTTAATCATCCACCACCGTTCACGACTGGATGTGGCAGGACTGCACAGTTTAGATCTGATCCGTTGGTTTTGGATCACTTAGCTCTGTCTTATCACTTGCTGCTTATGCTGTATGGCATGCAAATAGTCCTGTTTGGTGGCTTCACCAAGTTGACACCTCATCTTCACGTATGCCTGGTGCGATGGTGGGCCTTGAAATGGCAAATGCAGTTTAAGCCGGACAAATGCAAGGTGATTTAGGGAGATTTAATGCAAGTGGGAAGTATACAGTAAATGGCAGAATCATTAGCATCATCAACAGAGCGATCTAGGCATACAGGTCTACACTTCCCTTAAAGTGGCAACACAAATGGATAAGTTGGTTAAGAAGGCATATGGCATGCTTGTCTTTATCAGTCCAGGCATGGAGAATAAAATTTGACAAGTCATGTTTGCAGCATGCTGTACAGAATTTTAGTTAGGCCACATTTGGAATATAGTGTATAGTTCTGGTCGCCACACTACCAGAAGGATGTGGAGGCTTTGGAGAGGGTACAGAAACAGTTTATCAGGATGTTGCCTAATTTGCAGGGTAATTAGCTACGAGGACAGATTGGACCAACTTGCAGTTTGTTTTCACTTGTCAAAGGCTGAGAGGGGGGTGCAGCCTGATAGAAGTTTATAAAATTATGAGAGGCATGGATTGAATGGACAGTCAGATTCTTTTTCCTATGGTATTATTAGAGGTCATGAATTTAGGGTAAAAGGGCTAAGTTTAAAAGAGATGTGAGAGGCAAGTTTTCTTACCCTCCGCCACCGAGAGGATGGTAAGTGCCTGTAATGTGCTGGAGGAGGAGGAGGATACAAAAGCAATAGTTAACAGGCAGTGACAGATGTACGAATAGTTAAGGAATAGAGAGATATGACCTGCGTAAAAGCAGAAAGGTTTTTAGTTTAGAAAGGCATCATGTGTCAGTGCAGCCGTGGTCTGTTCCTGTGCTGAACTGTTCTTTTTACTATACCGATCAGTCTTGCACGCTATCACATTGTTAAGGAGCCCTGATTGCAGTGTGCTCAGACAACTACCAAACATTGAGATGTGGGTACTAGATACAACAGTAAGCTACCCAGTAACATAACTTGAACTTCAGATCGTTATTACAGGTGCAAATTTCTCTTCACAAGTATTTAACGGCCTTGTAGGACAAGTGCCTTAACTTTTCAGAAAGTGATAGTCATGCAGAAGGCTGGCGGGGTAGTAGGTTGTTCTTTATGATGGGAAACTCAGTGAAAAAAAATACTGTACTGGTGCACAGATCTCCACTATCTTGTTAGGAACCTGGGTCACTAAAGGCTAATTTGTTGGCTAAATTTTCCTGCTTCTATCCTCCCTGATCTTTACCCTCACTATCAACTTTTCATGCACTCTCAGAACTCAGCTGTCTTTAAGTACAGTAAAATTATTATGCCTTCTACAGGATCATATTATAACAAAACAGTCACTTGTTTTCTATCAAAGCAATTACAGAAGTGTGTGCTTATATGTAGGTCACATCAGGGTAAAAGAAGAGACTTATTTACCAGATTACATCTGCATTGTAGTATGCAATGGTTGGCTATAATGCAAAAACGAAGATGGTAATGGAGCTGACTTGTGAAGAGGACACTGCTTCTCTATAAATTGTACATTATACCCTCTTATAGAACAGAGCCATAAAGACAGATGAATCTTTAATTAACACGTCACATACATTTTAAAAAAGTTGTCTTTGCAATGCAAGTTCAAAGCCAGAGTTTCTCAAAATTCAAACCATACCTCCACGTAGGTGTTTTCCTGAACTGGCAAGGAGAAAATCTTACGGGGATTTTCATACAATCGTTTAATGAGGTCATCAATGGTGAGTCTTCCTTCACTGACGGCTGTAAGAAGTAGTGGCAGCATGGTCTCTAAACCAGGGTAACCTGGTGGTGGTGAATTACTGTTCTTTTCTTCAAGAGAATGTGGGGCTAAAGAAATGAACAGGAAATATTAATGAATATTTAAATAAAATAATTACTGTGGCTGATATCACAGAGTCTACATTAATAACTAGTTTTGAAAAAACACTGTTAGCAACCTATACTTAAAATAATTGTGTCTTTAAGATTTTAATAAAACACAAATGATCACAGCACTACACTCAATCAGTCATACATAAAAATTCTTCTAATATGGCAATATAAAATGATTTTAACTTGTTGCTGAAATTGAGGCAATTGTTAGCTAACATGATTTAGTATTTTAATATGCAGAAATTTTGAAAAAAAAAAAAAAACTTTGGTTATGTTGTGGGAGCAAACAGCTTCATGCAAAACACTGTTTTGGCAGCAAAAATACTTTTCAGCTCATTTATTACATACTGCCATTTGTGTGGTTACTTGCTTTAGCTTGAACCCACTCTGTATAGACTCACCCACAAGAATCTCCTGGGACTGGAAACTGCAAAGATTATAGCAAATAAGAGTGACGTATTTCATCATATCATGAAGATTCACAAAGGTTAAACTTTTACTGAAAAAGAGGTAGCACTCTCACACTGGTTCTATTAGTGACCCAAAGGCTAAAAATGATTTAAGAATGAAGAATGTCCTCTATTCATCACATACCATGATCAGTTGCAAAACAGTCGATGATGTCCAAATTTTCCCATAGAGATTTCACATCTTCTTTTGTAGTAAGCATTGGCCTGACCTGACCTTTGCCATGGCCTATACTTTCTAGGTCTTCCTCACTCAGGAACAGGTGGTGAGGAGCCACTTCACAGGTTACTTGTACACCTTTCTGTTTTGCAGCTCTAATAATTTGGATCTGTTGAACACAGCAAATAAAGATTCATGTAGTTCTGCACCCAAAAAAAGCCTTGTGTTCCCAGGCATATTTAGAATTATCTGAAATATTGTTTGTTCACTCGAAGAAACAAGTAGGATGTTATTAAATAACAGCCCATAGATTTTCCACTTTCCATGAATTATACACCACTCCCTCAGGAGGAGAGCTAGTGATTGGTCTCAAACAAAAAACAGAAATTGGTGGAAAAGCTCAGCAGGTCTGGCAGCACTTGTGGACAGAAATCAAGAGTTACGTTTTGGGTCAAGTGACTTTTCCTCAGAATCGATGGCAATTAGGAAAATGTTTGTTTATATGCAGAAGATAGAGGGTAAGGGGCGAATGATAGGTGGGGATACAGCCCAAAGCGATAAAGAACAGTTTGACAAAGGAGTGGATGATAATCCAGCTGGAAGTGCGAATAGCTATTAATTGGGAATGTTGGTGGCTAACAATAGGTTGTGTGTAATAGCAGACTATGTGATGATAAGGCCTGGCGTGTGTGGTTTGAGCAAAGGACATGGGAGAGCTTAAGGCCTAAAGTTATTGAACTCAATATAGAGTCCAGAAGGCTGCTGGGTCCCCAAGTGAAAAATGAGGTGCTGTTATTCCAGCTAGTGCTGAGCTTTGCTGGAGCACTGCAACAAGCCTGAGACAGAGATGTTGGCCAGGGAACAAAATGGTGTGTTGAAGTGGCTGGCAACTGGACACTCAGTCTTTTTTATGGACAGAGCATACATGTTCTGCGAAGTAGTCACCCAGTCTACACTTCATTTCCCCAACGTAGAACAGACCACATTGTGAGCAGAGAATGCAGTAGACTAGATTGCTTCACCTGGAAGGTATGTTTGGGCCCTTGGATACTGAGAAGGGAAGAAGTAAACAGACAGTTGATACACCTTCTGTGGTTGCAGGGCAAGGTACTGTGGGGGTGGGGGCGGGTGGGTGGGGTTGGGGGGAGGAGGGGAGGGTTGAGAGTGAAGGAAAAGTGGATCAGGGTGTCCCAGCTGGAACGGTCCCTGCAGATTACTGCTAAGGGAGAGGAGGGGAACGTGCACCTGGTGGTGGCATCTTGTTGGAGATGGCGAAATGGCAGTTAATAAACCTCTGGATGTGGATGCTGGTGGGATGATAGGTAAGGACAAGAGGGACCCTATCACTGTTGTGGGAGGAAAGAGAAGGGCTTGAGGCCGTAGTAGAGGAGGAGATGGGTCAGACCTGGCCGAGGCCCCTGTCGACAACAATGCTGGGGAGTCTTTGGTTGAGGAAGGTGGTGGACATTTCGAAGGCTCCCTTGTCGAAGTTTGCATCTGTTCCAAAGATCCCATGGAAACGGAGGAACTGGGAGAATTGAATACAGTCTTTACAGGAAGCAAGGTGTGAGGACGTATAGCCAAGGCAACTGTGTGAGTCGCTAGGTTTGTGGTGGGTATTGGTGACCAGCCTATCCCAGAAATGGAACAGAGACATTGAGAAAGGGCAGGGAGGAGTCAGAGTTAGACCAGATGAAAGTGAGGCCAGATTTGAATGAGACAGGGAAACAGCACCAATGACATCATCATGTGGTGTCTGCAATGCAGAAGTCAGTCTGCCTGACAACAACAGCACCATCCTTGTCAACAGGCTTAATTAACAAGCCAGGGTTGGATCCAAAAAGCACAGAGTGCAGTCAATTCCCATAAGGATAGATTGAAATGGATAAGGTGAGGGCAGAAAAATTGAGGCTAACCAGTGTCACATCAACAGTTCCCAATGAGTAGGTCGAATGCACCTATAACTGTGATTGTCTGGCAGCTTGAGCAGCTAAATGGCCTATTATAGTTCCTATTCCTACGGTGGACAATAGAAATTTTAGAAGTACCATTTCACAAATTTCTACATGTTGCAAATTACTTTAATAATGCCTAAAACAGACAGAAATGATGCAATTTACTAGATGCTTGTCAAGCTAGTGCAAAAAGGTTGGGGAATTTAAAGTATAACCAAAATAAAACAATCACATTTCTCCAATCTGTTAAGACAGCTTTAAAAACATTGTGCTAGAAACTGGCCACAGTCACAAACATGGAAACAGTCCCTGATCAAAGTAATGAATTTGGTGAGGTTTTGCCAATTGTGGCTTTTTGAGAATAGTTGTGAAAGGAATTTTTGGGCACACAGACTTCAGTAAACACAATGTTTAAAAAATGAAACAAAAGTGTGCACTGTATAAAATAGTAAATGGCTCAGTGTAGTTTTTCTTAAAGTTATTTTCAATTATTTACCAATTTGGGTTACTTTCAGATGGTGGGCTAACATTTCGACAAAAGTTGCAATAAACTTAATTGCAGCTGTATTAATAAAACAGCACCAGGTTACTGCACTTAAATACAGTAGGGATATAGCAGAGTGGTACCAGACAGTACATCAAATATTACTCTTGGGTAAGAAGCCTTGCTGAATTTTGGATTTTTCCAGGATGGGTCAAGTAGATTCTGTGGGCGTCGTGGATTGCATGGAGCACAGGAAAGACAGTATGAGAGGCACTGAACTGGTGTATTTAAGTGCAGCAACCTGGTGCAGTTTTGCTAATATAATTGGAAATAGTATTTATATTGTTGTAATAAACCTAACTTCAGAGATTACGCTGTGCATTGATTGACAAGAAACATTCTAATACAAAATGTAGCATACATTAGGGAAAAGAAATTTCTGTGATACAATATCCTATAATTTTCACTTCAGAAGGTAACAAAATAACTGAAGCTCTTCCATGGATAAAACCAATTCTTGGTAATGACACAAGAGTGTCAATGAAGTGGTATTATTAATCAGAAAAATTCCGAATACAAGTTCAGAAGCGCGGGCATTCTTTTCCAAACCATGTCTTAAGCTTTCAAGTTACTATTCCTAAAGGTAATCCAGTTGTTCCTTTGGTGGTGCAACTAGATTTGAAGTTCGAATCAAGGAGATCTGCAAAATAGAAAAGAACCCTTCGGCCTATCAAGTCTGCACAGGTCAAAAGCAACCAACGAATTATTCTAATACCATTTTCCAACACTTGCTCCATAGCCTTGTATACTTTAGCACTGCAAGTGCACATCTAAATACTTCTTAAATGTCACGACGGAGTCTGCCTCTACCACTACCTACAGGCAGTGAGTTCCAGCTTCCCACTACCCTTTCTGGGTGAAAAAGTTTTTCCTCACATCTCCTCTAAACCTTCTACTCCTTGTCTTAAACTTTTGCCCCCAGTCATTGATCCTTTCATCAAGGAGAAGAACTCCTTCTTGTCTACGCCCCTCATAATTTTATACATCTCCCCTCAGTGTCCTCTGCTCCAAGGAAAGCAAACATTCTATCCAATCTCTTTATATTATTATAATACTCCAATCAGGCAACATACTAGTAAATGACCGTTGCTCCCTTTCCAGTGCAATCTTTTCCCTCCCATAATGAGGATTCCATATCTGCACACAATACTCTAGCTGTGGCCCAGCCAACTTTTTAATACAGTTGCAGCATAACCTACCTGCTCTTAAAACTCTGTGCCTCAGCTAATAAAGCAAAATATCCCGTATATCTTTTTGATCAAGTTATCTATCTGTTCTGCTACCTGAGGGGGCCAGTGGACTTGTACGCAAAGACCCCTCTAATCCTGTGGTTCCCAGGATCCTACCTAGCATCATGCCACTAATCAGCCCATCTGTGTCGTCCTGTAATCCAAGGCTATACTCCTCACTATTTACCATCCCAATTTTTATGTCCTCTGCAAACTTGCTGAACAACCTGCCTACATTGAATTCTAAATCATTTATTGTTACCACAACAGACTTCAAAAGTACTTCAGTAGCTGAAAAAATCATTACTGTGAAAGGAGCTACTGGAGTACTTTTGGAGTCGATCTTGCTATGCAGAGAATTATGACCGAATTACATGTGGGCACAAACAGGAGAAGAACCAGATTTTTATCCCTGACCCTGCTTACATGCAAATAGGTGTAATTGAATATATTGATTGGAGTGAACTGCTATGTGATACATTGTCAAAGTCGCATGTTATCTTACCTCCTCCTTTCTAGCTACATGGCAAATGTGAACTGGTCTCTGGTACAACTGAGCAACCATTAAAATGGCTGCTACAGTCTGTCTCTCAGCATGCACCACTATGGGCAAATGCTTTGGCCACTTCTCAAAGTGCTGAAAAGAAGAAGCAATTGTATTTAAACTTCATTAACAGTAAAAATGCACAAAGTAACACATACTATTCTCAAAACATTATAAATTAATGTCAGTTAATCCTTTGTTTTAGGACAAGAAAGATTTTTAGTTCAAGAGTAGGAACTAAAAGGTAAAGATAAGTCACCACAATCCTACTGAACCATAGGGCTGCTCTCTCATTAAGGAGAGACAGCAGGTGACAGTTTAACTGGAGGGTCACCTCTGGCAAGGACAGCAGTTAAAAAGAGTCTTTCACGGTAGCCTTCAGGGAACCTATGCTGTGGGCATTACTTTGTATTGCAAACTTGCCATCTAGCCAAGCAAGTTAACCGACCCCAGAATAGGTACTACATTGTGGTGGAATGAATAAAAGAGATATACTTGTCTTCTTTGAAGTGCCTTCCAGAATACAATTATGCACCAGCCTAGAGAATTTCTTTGCCAAAATAGAAAAACATTTCAGGTAGAGCAAATAATATAATAAAACTTAACGATCACTGGATGCTTTGCGCACATGGGATTTTCATAAACGACTGCAAACTGAAATAATCTCAAGAATTATACCTCTGAAGCTTGTTCTGCTCTTCAGAGATCACAAACAGAGAGCTGTAAAGCCAGTGCAACAATATTTAGAAGGCTCCTTCACCTTCTCAATGCAAGGCTAAATAGCTGACACTGCATCGCAACAAATGCCCAGACTGGAATGTTCCAAATTCAGTCCACAGTCTATGGAGCAAACCATTTCAGGCTGGTGGAGGTATGGACTCTGCTTTTGACCTCACTGTCTTTCAACTATTTTGCATGCACATGTGGTGTGGTGGATTCAATGAATTTGGAAGGGGTATGTGGAAGGGGAGCAAATAGAAAACAAATTTCATCAACATTGGTCATACGGTCACATATTGCAATTTAGTTAATACCTTCTAAAAAAGCACAAAGCTAGCAAGAAAATTTATGTGAACAGCGACTGAAAAAGGTCTTGTTTCCATCATGGATATGAAGAATAAATTGCAAAACAAAAACAGACGGTTAAATAATCAGACTTTAGGGACTCACAATTATGCTATCAGAAGAAAAAGCAACCATGAACTAAGTGTTGGGTTAATCTAGACCATGTTGCTTTGGTATCAATTTATTTCACAGCTGTTGAATACATAGCTCAGAAGACCAGAAATTTAATTTGAAAGTGTGATCTTCAGTACTCATACTGTGAAGCTACATTTAAACGATATAAGTTATCATTAAGACCATAATCTGACCCTTGCAAACCGAGAAAGTAAAATCCACTCTACCTCTATCCATAAAGATACGTTATCCATTTTGAGTGTTGAGTAAGTATCATTTAGATACATCTTCAAGCCAGCAGCAGAATTGCTCATCAAAGGTAAAACATCAGCATTATCTGAAGATGCTCCCAGAAACAAAGCAAAGTCACAACGAGCACCAGCAGTGGCCAACTGGGTGGGAGGGGGAGAAAAACATTTTGCAAGAACATCAGCTTGTTATAACAAAAAAAATTGTGAAGAAGTCACAGAGTCATACAGCACAGAAACCCAACCGTTCGATCCAACTCATCCATGCCAAACAAGTTTTCCCAAACTAAACTAGTCCTATTATCCTGTGTTTGGCCCATATTCTTCCTCCCACCTATCCCCTCCTCCCACCTCAAGCCCGAGCCCCATCTCCTACCTACTAACCTCATCCCGCCCCCTTGCCTGTCCGTCCTCCCTGGACTGACCTATCTCCTCCTGTACACAGTACTCCAAAAGTGGTCTCACCAACATCCTAAACAACCTCAACATAATGACCCCACTATTATACTCAATGGTCTGAGCAATGAAGGCAAGCATACCAAATGCCTTCTTTAACACAATTCATTGAGAGTTGCTTCACAAGTAAACAATGTACCCGAAACCCCTGTCTCTGTCCTACAACGCTCCCTAAACTCCTACCATTAACTGTGTAAATTCTGCCCTTGTTCATCTTAACAAAATCAAGCACCTCACATTTATCCAAATTAAACTTCATCTGCTACTCCTCGGCCCACTGACCCAAATGATCAAGACCCCTTTGTAATCTCTGATAACCTTCTTCATTGTCCACTATGGTGTCATCTACAAGCTTCCTAACCGTGCTTTCTATATTTTTGTCCAAATCGTTTAGATAAATGACAAACAAATGGGCCCAGCAATGATTCTGGCAGCACACCACTGGTCAGGCCTCCAGTTTGAAAAACAACTCTCTACTACCACCCTCTGTCTCCCACTGTCAAGCCAATTTTGTGTCCACTTGGCAAGCTCTCCCTGAATTTCATGTGATCCAACTTCACTAACAGTCTACCATGCAGGACGTTGTCAAAGACCTCAGTAAAGTTCGTGTAGATGTTTACCACTCTGCCTCCATTTATCTTCAGTGACAAAAAGCAAAATACGCACTTAATTTTAACAATGTTAAAGTGAAATGTTTGATCACAAAACCAGAACCATTTATTTCACTTCAGTTCCTCCTAAAAACAACTAAATAGAAGATTTACGTGCTCTTTTAGTGTTAGAACCAAATTGCCCAGTCAATTGTTTAATTTGCCTGTATCAAACACAAATCAGTTTTGCAAATAATTTGATGATTATGCATTATAGCATCTGCAAACAAAAATGCACAAAGTGCAGCAATTTTAAACATCAGTAATGCTTGCCTGAAAGTCTGGCTAGGTTTCAAAAATACTTGGTGTGAACTTCCCACTTTTGAGAAGTTGAAATTAAAATTACCTTCTGTACAAGGGCAAAGGTAGCATGGTCTGTGATTGCTGGATTTGTGTTTGGCATAGCACACACCATGGTAATTCCTCCTGCCAAAGCTGCTGCAGTGCCTGAAGCAAAATCTTCCTTATGGGTTCCACCAGGCTCACGAAGATGTACATGGACATCAATCAGACCTGAAGGTGAAAAATGTACAGGCACAAAACTTTTATTCATCGTAATTAAATACAATGAAGGAATATTTTCACATATGCCATTTAGATGTGTCATTTGGAACTTGAATACTGACAAAAGCTGCAAACAGCAAGATTACTATGTCACTACCTGGTAAGCGAATCAATTTGTGAGAAGTCATTGAATCAATATGAGTCTTCACTGGAGGGGCACTGCCTATCAGCCGTAAAGCCTGGAGAAGAAAAGACAAATTATCAGATTAAATAGATTGATCAGTGAAGTTAAAATTCATATCAAAACAGCAGTACTTCAAGATGACAAATTTCAGGAAACGTGCCTCAACAAAGAGTTTGGTGCACTTGATATCAATAATTAATGGAACAGAGTAGTCTACAGCCAATCGCCTAGTACGGTAACCCTTGGTAACAAAGGAAGAAAGGCGTCGTCCTCCAGAGTTCCTCATGGAGAGATTTATAACCAAGTCAAAATGATTTTCTTCTAGATAGTCCACAATGCTTCTGTGCCTCTCTTTCAAAGGACCATCGTTGTCAGAATCTTCAAATGGCCAGTCTACTGCCTTGATCTGCAAAGAAAGGAACCAGAAGCTAAAACTGAAAATTATCGAGAAATTAACCAGTAATCTGCTGAGATTGCACAAAAATATTTGTTTAGATCAAGCAAAGGAAGCTTTGCAACTGACCCTGTTACATCTGGCTTGGTTATTTTTGTTTTAAATGACAGTAGGTGATAAAGGGAAAAAGATCCAATACTGACATGGTCCCACTTTAGGCATAAATTTTTTTTATGCAATTGTACATAATCAAAACTGCATCATGCCATAGTTAAACCAAACTATATTGAAACAAGCATTTTAAATTAATTTGAAACAAAGGCACATTTTACATCAGGGAAACCAGCATTTTGTGTACAACGTCCTCTCTTGTCAGCTTCAAATAGGGGAACAATATTAAGTAGAATTGATCTACTATACTAATCTGTGCAACATTTTCAACTCACCCCACATCATATTTTTACATCAAACCATTAGGCTTCAAATTTTTTTTCTGATGTCACCGTCATGCTTTTTTAATTAAAGCCATTCCAGTTTTTATCCCAACGGTTCAATCAAAAGTTCAGACACATATACAATGTCCTTACCTCAATTCCGTGCTCAGTGTAAAAATCTGCTGTACCCAAACTTGCATATAGGTTATAACCAAGCTGCTCCAAAGATTGTACTGTGGACAGCAGCTCACTCTTGTTCTGAAAGTGTAAGAAAATGTTGTAGTATGAAGTTCAGAGCTTAATTATGGACAAGAAATTGTAATAATGTTGAGAACACAACAGCCACTGAGAATATTAAATTTGAATATTCAAAATATAATCAAAATAGGTACAACAAAAAAGTTTAAATTTAAAAAAGGACAGATCAGAAAAAAAAGATTATTGCAATATGAAGCTATTCTTCAAATGAATTTAGTTTGCATGGTAATCTCAATATACTGTTTCATTGCCAATGAAATTCTTTTGAAGTGCAGCCACAGTTGTAATGTTGTAGTAAGATGCCACAAATGAAAAGACCAAAAACAAATAAGCAGATAATTTACTATGGTGGTGATGGCTAATAATCAAGATTACCAAGGACATCAGGAAAACAATATGGCTCTTCTTTGGAGAGATACAGCATATAGAGACTCACTGACACTAAACTTGAAAGGCAGGGCACCAAACAATACAGCACTCCCTTAGTTCTGCAATGAAATATAAACCCATACTATACATTCAGGCCCTTGGAGTAGAGTCAAAACCTATGAACTTCTAACTCAGGAAATGCAGTACTATCAATCAGCATAATGTTGGCATCTTTTTTTAAACTTTTGAGTTACTTTTATTTCTGCAATACGGGTATTTTCATCAGCACAATGCAAGGACTCAAATTTACAAAAATTAGATGATCTAGGAACACAGGAATTTTCTGGGACCTCTGCCCACTGCCTCTTCTCACAGCGAGTTACATTTCCCCATGCAAAAAGCATTCATATGGTTTTCAAAACATGGCAAACACTGCAATGATATACCTTAACCCCTGCAGTAACAATTTATATCATTTCTGTAAAACAAAACCTTTTGTAAGTTGGTCAGTGTATTGGATTTACCTTGTAGCTGCCAATTGAAAGCAGTATGTTCTTTTTAGGTATTTTAAAGCCAGTGCTCAACATGGCCTTGAGGTAGGCCTCATAACGGTTTTCTCCAAAGCAGGCCACCTCTCCAGTACTTGTCATCTCTACACCCAGGACCACATCTGCCCCAGCTAGGCGAGAAAATGAAAACTGAGGCACCTAAAAATGAAGTTACACACAGTGAATCAGGAAGTTTGACAATTCATTGAAATTATTTTCCACACCTTTCATTTCTGCGATACTACACCTGCGATACCTACATCACGTGTTTACGAAAAGTTACCTTAATAGATAGACAATCTGTTTCTTACTGTTTTATTTATCAAAACGAAAAATCCACTTTAAATAAAAGTTGAAACTGCTGGAAATACCGAGCAGGTCAGCTATCAGTGAAGCTTGAATCTTTCAAGTTAACAGTCTTTCAAATGTAGCAGTGGCTTGAAACATTAACTGCATTCACTCAGCATTGTTGCCAGATCTGTGAAGAATTTCAAGCATTTTCTGTTTTTATTAAATTTCATCATATTTCCAAAATACACAGTATTTTGCTTATATTCAGTTGAATATCCACTTTACTCAGAAATGTATTAAAAATTTTCTTTATGACATTGGTTGAGCCAAGACCAACCCATGAATAAGGAATAAATGGGGTTAGGAATTCAAATTTGACTTCAAGGGGAAGCGATGGCCTAGTGGTATTATCGCTGGTCTGTTAATCCAGACAGCCAGATAATGTATGGGGACCCATGCTCGAATCCCACCATGGCAGATGGTGGGATCTGAATTCAATAAATATCTGGAATTAAGAATCTAATGATGACCATAACTCCATTGCTGAGTGTCAGAAAAAAAACCCATCTGATTCACTAGTGTCCTTCAGGGAAGGAAACTGCCTTCCTTACCTGGTCTGGTCTACATAGGACTCCAGAGCCACAGTTTTATGGTTGACACTTAACTGCCCTCTGGGCAGTAAGGGATGGACAATAAATGCTGCCTAGCCAGCGACCCCCGCATCCCATGAATGAATAAAGGAATATGCAATGTACATTTACAATTCAAGCAAAACCACTGTAAAAGTTAGGCTTCAATATTTCTGGGCACAGCAGTAATATTCTGAATAATTTGATGAAGGTACAAAAAACAACTTTCTGATCAGCTTTAAACTTCCCCACTAGTAACACCTACTTGTAATTTTTCATTTATTTTGAGAAAGGAAATGAAAGATGAAAAGCAACAGACGCCGAAACAACACTATTCTTCTACAATTCAATTATATTTAAATCAAACACAGCAAATGCCCGAGAAACTCAGCTATGGCAGCATCTGTGGGGACAGAAACAAAGTTAATATTTAGTGTGTATGAATATATATTTATGTAGGCAATTATATTTAAGATCACTTCACCTTTACACCTACAACTCCTGTACCAGTCATTAACCCCACGGGCTCAACTTCTTCACCCATAATTACTTGCGTAGCTAGGGCTATCATGTCAACACCAAGTGTTTTCGATACAAATGGAAAAGAACGTGAAACTCTCACATTGCATTCTATCACTTTGAGTTGGTCATCCTATAGAAAAGAAAACAGAGTTAAAATAGCCATTTCAGTGCTCTGATCTCTCCAACAATTTCTTGACATATTTCAAATGCAAGAAAGATTTTAACAGAATGTTGGGCTATGCTGTCAAATCAGTTGCACCTGAGCTGACAAACACAAACTATAATATTTTAGTGGTCATTTGAGTGTTGTCTTTAATTTCGCTCATCAAAACCATGAAATATCCAAGCTCTAAAGATTGTGCAGAAGGAGGAACATGACTGATTCCCTTGTGTTGGAGGACTAATCTACAGTAGCGAAACTCAAAGAGGCAAGTTTTGCCTTTTAGTGAAAATGTTAAAAAGTAGACAAAAGAATGAGTTAAACATCTCATACAATTTTCAATTTGGTTGATAACAGAAAGGTAAAATCAGGCAAGATGTATTACAGACATCAAATTAGACAGCTTATTTAATATTCATCTATTGTTAAATTTTTGCCAGACTCGAAATGTGCACAGATATGTGGACACCTTATAAAGATATAAAGCAGAATGAAGCAAGCTAAACCTAAAGCATAATTTCAAGTTAAACATGACTGCAAGACAACACAATACAGATATCAACTGCTAAACATAGTTCAGAATTCAAGCTAGAAAGCAGTGCTTCAAACAATAAGTAACAGCTGCTTATGGTGTTTAGGGTTAGATAACAGACAGCAAAAGCCTTGAAATTATTCAAGGTTCAGTTGGATTCTACAATGGAAGAAGGGCAAAGAAACAACACATTTCTATGCAAACAATAACACATGGATCAAACATGGGCATTTTGTGATCTGCAATTATTTCCAATAGCAAACTTCATCCAATTTATTTTAAAAACAACAGGTTTCACGTAAAAATAAAATCATAATCTGATATGAATAGTTAGTTTGGTGATTTTTGATATTTTGTATTCTAATAATATGAATTTCCATAAAGAAAAATTCCCAAAACCTGCAGCCTAAATTTTTCTGATAGCAGAATAAAAACATCTTAGCTCTTTATTTGCAGGGACCAAGCAGAATGGAGGAAATAAATAGGCTTTGCTATACTCTCACCTTCACATAGAATCTAAATCAAACATGGAACAATTCACAATTGCTCAAAAATTTAACCTTTGCAATGAGTTGAAGGTTGAATGGTCCAGTGGCTTGTAATTCTTGTCCAATTGCATGTACTATAGCTTTGATCCTTTCTGTTGTTTTCTGATTTAAGTCTTGAGGTGGAGTTACCAATGTAGCATCTCCAGAGTGAACCCCTGCGTTTTCTACATGCTCTGATATAGCTACTGCTATCACAACTCCGTCACAGGCAACTGCATCCACGTCAATCTCCTGTGTGACATAAATGTGCAACTTACTTAATTAAAAGAGTCAAGAGAACACACAAGCTGTCCAATGCGATTTAAAATACTAACTACTTTACTAAACCAAAGATTGTTAAAATACGTACAATTCCATAGAATACTTTAAAGATAGACTTAGTTAGACAAGAAAGAAGGCAGCATTTCATTACACCAGTTTTAGCACGACACACTAAAGCAATTACAAGGATTCTCACTGGTTCCAAACACGTGGAATCATTTTACTATTGCCATTATCTCCTAATTTTTTAAAACCAAGTATCTGTTTGGAAATGTAAGATGAAGTGAGAAATTTGATCAATAACCTTAAAACCTAACATGGTCAGCTCGGACATCTGGTCCACATTGCTACATACAAAGAGAAAAGGTACTCTAAGTAGTACCTCAGGAGTCAAACAATTTGAACTATAATCTCCATGCATTCTCGATGAATCAAGATTTCCATAATTTCATCTGTAGTGCATTAACTAAAATTGAAATGTTACTCTTTGCAAATACCTTTCACAGGAATGGATACAGGCAAATAAACTTAACCCATTAAAGACCATGATAGATTACTGACAGAAACAGGGAAAAAAAAGGTGTAGGTAGGAACTTCAACCTCCATTTAAACATAAAATAACGAATCAGGACTTGCAAATCATAGAAGTAACAACAGTCCTTCTGAAGTAGCGAAAAACAGCACTGCAAAGAAGTTTACAACAATGAGAAAATCAACTTTGTTTACCTTTGCCTCTTGAATGAATTTGGATATGACTACTGGGTGCTCCTTTGAAACTGCCACAGCACTGCTAAGGAACTTCTCCAAGTCACTGTCCGAATAAGCCACATTCATAGCAACCCCACTCAGCACATACGATGGGCGAATGAGGCATGGATAACCAACTTTCGCACAAAACTGTTTGGAGGACTGTAAAAGGAAACAACCATTGAGTAACTGAGACCAAGATGACACTCCAAATCTTCCAATGTAGCAATAAGGTGTTCCTTACTTAAGTATTTTACATCAAAAGACTTGCAAACATCTGACAGTTTAACTGCTTACAATAAAATGGCACGCAAGCACATGTGCACTTACTTCTGTGTCAGACAGTTCCTTCCACAGTGGCTGGCTAATGCCTATTGTATCCAACATTCGGGAGAACTTGAAGCGATTTTCAGCTGTGTCAATGGATTCTGGTGATGTGCCCAGGATTCGACACTGCTGACGATGTAGATCCATGGCAATGTTGTTTGGCAACTGTCCCCCCATAGACAAGATTATACCCTCTGGGTTTTCAAGTTCATAAATATCCATCACAACCTGAAAAGACAATAAAGGTAATGTCAAAGATGTTTTCAATGCTCTTTCAGTCTGAAGTGCACTTTTATCTCTGATCACAAAATTAACATTTCCTAAATGTTCTCTTTTCCTCTCTAACTTAGCTGATCAGTCTATTGCCAAAATCAAATAACGGGCTAAGTACCTGATGACAGGAAATCTAGTACAACAGCAGCACATTGCAAGACCCCTGCTCCACTTAAAATTAGATACAGAAGATGTACCGTTGATTTTTTTAAAAATCAGTTTCGCATTGCAGCTGCTTGACAAGGTAACTGGCCAGATATAAAAGATTAAAGATCTGATATCATCTTTAATTCATTCACAGCTACACAAACAATTGCACATGCACCTACAGCTGGTAATAATCACAAACTGATTGGATATAGCACATTTTTAACTTATGGCAGGATAATTTAGATTTTCCAGCATTTTACATCAGCCTTATAACTCATCATATCAACTGGATTAAGTGTCAGACACATGCTAACTTCCTAGGAAGGCTAAAAATCCACCTTAGTCAGATGGCTAATAACTGACAAGTGACCAACAAGGTTAGGGAGTAACAAATTTGCCTCTGGGTTCAATTTGATTTCAAGGTATACGCAAAATCATATGAGACTGCGTCAGTCAATCCTAAGATTGAGAGAAAGGAATCTGGTGAAAACTGAAAGAACTGTGGACGCTGTAAATCAGGAACAAAAGCAGAAGTTGCTGGAAATGCTCAGCAGGTCTGGCAGCATCAGTGAAGAAAAAAAAAAAAATGAGTTAACCAGGTCCAGTGACCCTTCCTCAGAACCCAGAGAGAGTACAATCCTGTCTATTGGGGGGGGGGTACAGTTGACAAACAAGAAATCTGATGACCTCCCTCAGCATACTTTGGGAAAACAGTCAAATTGGCAACACAGATTCAAAACAAAAACAAAAGTCCAGAACAATTGGAAAGCTACAACTACAGGAAATCAAAGAGAAAAAGGAAGGTTTAGTGCAAGATCTGCTTCATGATTGATCCAGCTGAGGTCTAACCAGTGTCTTATACAAGTTCAACATCACCTCCTTCACTTGTACTCTATGCCCCTATTGATAAAGCAGAGAAAAAAAAAAAAAGTGTATGCTTTACTTACTGGTCTCTCTACCTGTCCAGCCACTATCAATGATCTGTGTACATGTACACTCAGGCCCCTCTGCCCCTACACTGGCCCTTAGAATTGTACCCCTTATTTTGTATTGTGTATCAATGTTCTTCCTACCAAAATGCATCACCTCTCACTTGTCTACAATGAAACTTATCTGCCGCATATCCACACACTCCACCAACTTGTTAATGTCATTCTGGAATTCTACACAGTCCTCCCTCAATTTTTCCCAGGTTGTGTGTCCTTTGTAAACTTTGAAATTGCCTTAGGCATACTAAAATCAAAATCATTAATATACAAGGGAAAGCAAGGGTTCCAATATAAACTCCTGGGGAACTCCTCCACAAAACTTCCAGCCCTAAAAATATCCATTGATCATTTCTGAAGAATTTTCTGAAGAAGAGTCCAGACCCAAAATGTCAGCTTTCCTGCTCCTCTGATGCTGCCTGGCCTGCTGTGTTCATCCAGCTCTCCATCTTGTTATTTCAGATTCTCCAGCATTGACAGTTCCTATCTCCATTGATCATTACTATCTGTTTCCCATCACTCAGACCATTTTGCATCCACATTGCTACCAAGTCTTTTATTCCATGACCTAGAACTTTCCTTACATCTGTTGTATGGCATTGTATCAAATATCTTCTGAAAGCCCATGTACACTGCATCAAAGCATCCCTTCTTCAAATCATTCTGCTACTTCTTCATAAAAAATTCATGTAAGATGATTGGTCCACTGTTGTTTATCATTTATATGAATAAGAATATAGGAAGTATAGTTAGTAAGTCGGCAGATGACACCAAAATTGGTGGTACAGTGGATTATGAAGGAGGTTATCCAAGAGTACAGCGAGATGTTGATCAGAAGGACCAACAGGCAGATGGAGTTTAATTTATATAAATGCAATGTGTTCTACTTTGGTAAAGCAAACCAGGGCAGGGCTTACACAATTAACGGTAGGGCCTTGGGGACTGTTGTTGAACAGAGAGACCTAGGGGAAGCAGGTTCATAGTTCCTTGAAAATGGTGTTGCAGGTAGACAGGATGGTGAAGGCAGTGCTTGGCATGCTTGCCTTCATTGGTCAGAGCATCAAGGAAAGGAGTTGGGACGTCATATTGTGGCTGGACAAGACATCGATGAGGCCACCTTTAGAATACCGTGTACAATTCTGGTTGCATTGCTATTAGGAGGGGTGACGGTAAACTAAAATGGTATAGAAAAAATTTACAAGGATGTTGCCAGGCTAGAGGATTTGAGTTATAAGGAGAGTCTGGATTGGCTGGAACTTTTTCCTCTGGAGTGTCGGAGACTGAGGGGTGACCTTTGAGGTTTAGAGAATCATGAGGGGTACGGATAGAGCGAATGGCCAAAGTGTTTTTCCAAAGGTTGAGGAGTCCAAAACTAGAGATTTAAAGTAAGAGGGAAAAATGGACTCAAAGAGGGTAATACATGTATGGAATAAGCTGCCAGACGAAGTAGTAGAGGCAGGTACATTTAAAAGACATTTGGGCCAGTACAACAGTAGCAAAGGCTCCGAGGAATATGAACCAAACACAGGTAAATAGGATTAGTTCAGTTTAGGATACCTGGTTGGCCTGGACGAATTGGACCGAAGGGTCTGTTTCCATGCCATATGACTATATAACATAATCTCCCCTTTGAAAATCCATGCTTATTCTTCCAAATCAACCTATCATTTTCCACGAAACTACTAATTTTATCCTGAATAATTGTTTCTATAAGTTTGCCCACCACTTAAGTTAAAATGACTAGTCTGTAATTGTTAAGCTTATCTTTACAACCTTTCTTGAACAAGACTATCATGTTTGCAACTCTGCACTCTTATAGTATATCGCTGAGACTAAGGAAGGCTGAAAGATTGTGGCCAATACCCCTGCAATTTCCACACACACTTCCTTCGAAATCCATCAGGTGCCAGTGTCTTGTCAATTTTAATAGCAACAGTCTATCCAACACATCTGCCCTATCAAATTTGAACCCTTCTAGAGACTGAGTTCTCTCCCCTGCACAGAATCTCTCTCTTTTGCAAAGACAGATGCAAAGTATTCATTTAACACTTCAGCCATGCCCCTGCCTCCAGGGTAAATCCCTTTTCGGTGCCTAATCAGACCTACTTTGCCTTATATGACCCTTTTACAATTTATATGGTCATAGAAAACTCTGGGACAACTTTTCTGTTGGTTATCTTTGTTTCTTTTCTTTGTTTTTTTTTCACCTCCTCTCTGAACCCTTGATATTCCTCGAATATAAGCAAATAAAATTGACATTGTGCTTAAGCATAGTTTTTCTTCTTTATCTTAAATTCCATCTCCTTTATCATTCAGGAAGGTCTGGATGTGTTGGTTCCACCTTTCTCATTTGACAGAATATACCTAAACCATCTCTTCTTTGAAGACAGCCTATTATTCAGTTACTGTTTCTCCTACCAATCTCTTGTTCCAGTCAATCTTACCCAGATCGGTTCTTCCTCCAGTGAAGTCTTCAGGTCTACCAACTGGTGTTTTTCACTGTGGACTGCTGCATGTCATTCTCACCATAATTCTGAACATCGTAATACAATGATTGCTGTGTCCTAAATGTTTCCAACTGACACTTGATTCTCGTGGCCCATCTCATTTCCAAGCTCCAAGTCCAATAATACACTCTTTCTTGTTGGATCTGAAATACTCTGCCGTAGGAAGCTCAGTTCAGGAATGCTGCACCTCTCTGCCTCTTACACTCCAAATATCCCAGTCTATGTTTGGGGAACTGAAGTCGCCCATTATAATTACTCTATAATATTGGCATCTCTGTAATTTCCCTGCAGATCTGTTCTTCTACATCTTTTCCACTAGCTGGTAGTCTACAGATGACATTTATTATTCGATAATTATTGGAGCCTGAATTTTTCACACTAAAACAACAACTCCACAAGTGTCAAGCCAAGATCACCCAGTTCAGCGTAGAAAAACAGAAATAAGGGGCCTAAATAAGAATTCACTGTTCTATGTAATTCACACAGCACAGAGTATCATCTCAATGTTCGAGAGAAATTCTATCCTGAAGAATATTGAAATAAAGGATCCTGTGGTGTTTAATTAAATAAATGGGAATAGTTTTTATTATAAAATCAACTAATTCAGTCCCGATTCCAGGAATATCTCTCATCACAGCCATGAAATTGAAATGCTTACTATGAAATCTCACTGAAGGGGTCTCTTCTTTTTAAGTTTCAATCAAAAAAATAGACTAAGTAGAACTAAAAGCCTTATATTTTTCCATGCATGCTTTACAAAAAAAAAGTTACAACTTTAAGAATGGAAACTTCAGGAAACCTAGCATAAAAATTGTTGGAAAAAAGCAAATTGTAGTAATTTTCCATTTTTATTTAAATAAGAATTCTCTTCGAAATATGAAATATGGTTCTAAGTTTCTAAACAATTCTCTCTTTGCTTTTCTAAAAAAAAAGCAGAGAATTACAGGAGAATCAACTTACCTCAAATGATATTTCATCGAAGTAAAGCCTGTCACACATATCATAATCTGTACTGACAGTTTCAGGATTATAATTCACCATTATGGTTTTGTAGCCCATCTGTATGAAATAAAACATGAGTTTGTTTAAAAGGCATTTCAGCTTTCAAGAACATAAGCACACCATGCTACACTTCTGGTCAATCAAATGTTGAATTTATACCTACTGATTTGGGGAAGGCACTGTATGTAACTTTAAAAATCACCAAAGCTATGAGTCATCAATTTGCTGTTTATTCACAATTATGTTTATATTATTATGGTCATAAATTTTCCAAAATTTGTCAACTGTGGATAACAGGCAGGAGTCAGGCCTGCCGGTATGTTCATTTTAGTGTGTAAACCAGCGCTTGAAAAGTTGATCTATCCCGTTGATCTGCATAATAACAACTCTGTTGGAGGTCAGTAGTGTAAAGTTACCAACTTTGTTGATTTTACAGAGCCTGCTGGAGTACATGCTTTTGGCAATGAGTACTGTATTTATTGGACAGATTACTGAGTATGAACTGAAGCCACAACCCACAACTTTTCCTTTAAAGATCATATTAAATATGCTAAGAAAGCAATTTTGAAGACTAACCTTGCGTAATTGTTGGATACATCCAACAGCACACCAATCAAACTCCACGCTGCTCCCTATTCTGTAAACACCGGAACCAATCACCATCACATGAGGCGTGGTAAAGTCAAGATCGTGTCCTTCACCATTATACGTCAAATAAAGATAGTTGGTTTGAGCTGGCCATTCAGCTGCTACTGTATCAATCTGTTTCACCACAGGAAGGATGTTCCACTCCTGTCTCAATCGCCTCACTGCAAGTTCAGTACTAAGGAAAAACAATCAAAGCAATTTGTAGGTCATCAGCCTTGAATACAAAGAAATTGAACATGTACCTATCCAGAAAGCAAGGGGGATATGTTTAGAATTTTTCAACTTCTCCAAATCTTTCCCCTCACTCTCACCAGCTAACTGAGCAGGGCAACAAAGTCAAATGTCCAAATCACAATGTATAATCTCATTTATAGCTTTTCAGTCCAAATCTAGACATCTATTGATCAAATATGGTGCAGGCCATAACAAAAGTACACATTAGTGAAAAATCAATCTGTAAGCACAAACTTAAACAGTAAACTCAATAATCAAAAACTGCTTATTTTTCAAATGAGCCTGTGCTAATTTGCCTTGATTTTCTAAAGGATCAGAGATAAAATATACCAAAATATTAGGAACTGGAGGTGGTGCCCAGGAACATGCTGACAGTCCTGTAATATTATAGTTGTGCAGAAATGAAAAATCAAATCGAGATGGTTAACATCTTAATCAAATTTGATTGCTTTTAGACCATTTGTTTTGGAAAACAATTTGCACTATACAGTCACCGTGAATTGTCCCACTGGTTTACCTCTGTATCGCCATTGCAATCTGTTTATCAGAGAAACCAAGACGCTTAGCTTGCAGGAGATCATGACAAGGCATTTCATCCTTTGTGTACATCTCAAGCTTCATTGAATATTCAACAATGTTTTTCATTTTGTGAAGAAACCACTTGTCAATTCTGGTCAACTCATACAGACGTTCGATTTCATAGCCTGCCCTCAAGGCCGCAGCAAGGACAAAGATTCTCTTATCCGTCGGAGTTTTAAGTTCCTAAAACGTAATTCAATAAGGTAGTAAATTATCAAGCAGTTTATTTAAAATTGAGATTAGAAGGAATCTGCAAGAAAAATATTCGAAAGCTGGACCTTCCAGACAAATACTAATATTAAACCGGTAAGAGAATGTGAAACTGTGTCTGAGTTAGCACAGTACAACACACAAAGCAAAAACTGGCACAATCAGCCATTGGCCTGCCATCAGGAATAGTAATATTAGCTCTTATGGCTTCCATTACAATGTAATCAGACTTTTGCAATCAGTATTCTGGAAAGAAACAAGATGACAATGTAGTTTTTCTTCTTTATTCATTCACAGGATGAGGGCGTCACTGGCTAGGCAGCATTTAAGAGGGCAGTTAAGAATCAACCATGTTGCTGTGGGTCTGGAGTCACATGTAGGCCAGACCAGGTGAGGATGGTAGTTTCCTTCCCTAAAAGACATTAGTGATGGGTTTTTCCAACAATCGACAATAGATTCACAGTCATCATCAGACTCTTAATTCCAGATAATTTTGGAAAATTCCACCATTTGCAGTGGCAGGACTTGAACCCAGGACCCCAGAACATTATCTGGATCTCTGGGTTAACAGTCCAGCGATAATACCACTAGGCTATCGCCTCCCCATTGGGCTGTCTTTATTTACTTAACACAGACATAGCATTGCCCAAGACAACGGGGAAACATTTCCCAGTGCTAACTGGAGATGGATGTTTAATGCTGGCCTCAAAAGTTACACTAGCTGGTGAAAGTTCACTTCCACATAAGTGTGCAGTGATACCTAACTTGAGCGCAGCGTTCTGTACTGGTTATTTAAGCGCATTGGAACAGCAGTGTTAGATTCCAGGTAGCCAACTTTACTTTGATGGTGACCACTTCAGGTTATGTATCAGAACATCTGAGAAAAGTTGCTATTGTTCCAAAGAGATCAGAACTCAGAACACAAAATTATTTTCCCCCCAATTATGTGTGTTGCAATATTCAAGGAAGCCAATTAAATGATTGGATTTAAAAAGGAAACAATGTCACAATTGACAGGGACAACTAAATCAGGAAATTATGCAATTTCATCAAGATTAAAAAAGAATTAAATCAATTTAACATTTATTCTGCAAGTGTAATGTTATTACAGTAAATGCATCAGATTACCTACAACTATTACACTATACCAAGTCAACTGTAAGTACGAGTAGAAAATTTATAGCAGTACGCCCATCTTCACAGATGGCAGAAAAACTTCACTAAAGTCCAACTTGGGAAGAAAACAAAAACAAAAGCACATGATTCTATCTGTAAAACACAACCAACTGCAATGGCGAGATGATATGCAATGGTTGACAACTCCAACAAGTGATGTTTTGTCTACCGCTCAAGAAATCTCAGGCTTTTCAGCTCTCTGAATCTCCATGAGAAACAACATTTTCCCACACAGCTCCTTGACTTCGTTAGTAACTTCAATATCATTAATATACAAAAAAAAAGTTTTCATTTTCTGGTTTGATGATACAAATTAAAGACTAAATAGGAGTCAGAAACTACCAGAAGCTTGAAAAATATTTTTTGAATGATTTATATAGCAATATGCTATTTCTTTCGACTGCTATCCCTGTGTAGGATGAAAGCACACAATGTAAGTCTCTACAATTATTAGGATTTATTTTCTGGAAGATGCTAAACCTTTGTGCTATTAATGTAACAGAGGTGAAATAATCCCCAACATACCTCATCAGTAGCCAGCTTCAAGGTATGATCAAATCCAATGCAATTTTCATCTACCATTCTCAGCGCTTTCTGAAACGCTTCTTCAAAATTACGACCAATAGCCATGACTTCTCCTTTTTGAGACAGATTATATAAAATTAATACATAGTTCTGATGAAGGGGACACAACCATCAATTGATGCTGGCTGATGTAAACTATATGCCCACATTTTGCTTTTCATTATCATGCTTCACATGATGAATGGATTGTACATTATTAATAAAACTCAAACTTTTACAATTAACTTGGGGAAATACTTATGCACATTCATGTAAATAATGACATACTTACGACACATGGCCCACCCATATATGTTGCTCAGGGCAAGAGCTCAGCCTAGTTCCAGGCCTCATTGTTTCCGAGTTGCTCACATGAATTTTGCCACAGATTTCTACTCTCCCACCCAGGGAGACTCGGTGACCATGGCTCAGTAAAGCTCAAGGTTCAGAATGGAGTGAAAATTAAACAGACGCTGAAATCTCACTGTAAGCGTTTCAAACACTGGCTTTGCAACAAACCATTACTTGGAATCTCAATACAAATGGCCAGCCAAAAGAGCAACTTTCTTGCAGTCAGTTTCACAATAGAGAACTTAGCCCACCAATATCACACCACACTCCCCCCAATCCCGAAGAACATCCCATCCAGACCTAACCCTCTACTCTATTCCCATAACCCTGCATTTTCCAAGGCTAATCCACCTAGCTTGCACATCCCTGGACACCATGGGCAATTTAGCATGGCCAAGCCACCTAACCTGCGCTCTGAACTGTGAGGAAACCGGAGCACCTGGGAGGAAACCCATGCAGACATGTCTGTGTGGAGTTTGCACAGGTCGCCTGAGGGTGGAATCAAACCCAGGTGCGTGGCGCTGTCAGGCAGTAGTGCTAACCACTGAGCCACTGTTCTGCCCCTTCAAATGTGTGAAGATGGGCTGGAATACCAAGTTAAGTTCTGTACCCAATCCTAAAGAGTATTAAGATAGCTGACTTGATTTGGAAACTAGCTATCAAATGACAATCCATAAATTAATTAAAATTAGAAGAAAGATACTTTCACAGGAATCATTTCTGGACTTTAGTATTCTCAGATCAAATATTGAAATTGTTTAATAATGGGTACAAGTTTACAATTTTGTGACAAGATAAATGATACATCCGAACAAAATAGTAGTTTGACTGAGAACTTGGTAGAAGGACCATGGTATCTGACTTCCTGATACTGATGGTCAAAGCAAACTCTTTACGAACGTGAGAAACACACAGTCAGCATACAAGTGTCAAAACAACCAATTTTAATTATCTGGCAACGTTGTACTGCAGGTTTGGCTATAAACCATACTTACCAACACTCTTCATAGAACTTCCAATTTTGGTGCTTACACGCAAGAACTTGCTCAGGTCCCAACGGGGTATCTTCACAACACAGTAATCCAGACTGGGCTCAAAGTTTGCAGTTGTTGAATTTGTTACAGAATTTCTGCATTAAATATACAAAAACAAAAATCAGCAAGTTAAACTAACTACTTTCATGCAGGTCTTGTGGCTTTTTAATGTTTGCTTTCTTTAATGCAGAAAGAGAGCAGAAATAATAAGGACAAGGCAAAGAGTTGCAATTTCCACTAAAAGACCTGAAGGAAGAATGTTGCAATATCACAACATACTTGATGTCCGTTCCTGCATTCCAGGCAGGAAAGATATATCACCACTCATAGGTCTTGGATGATATTCAAAATAACAATTGTTACATAGCCTGGTGGACAAACTTTCAGGCAGTCCTGTCTGTGAATCTTGGTAACGAGTTAGAGGTGGACTGTGGGGTATTTGGGGAACAGAAAGTTAGAAAAATTGTGTAGCAAGAGTATGAAAATCTGAAAAAAAACTTTTTATTTTCAATGATGTGCGTTAAGGGGGTTAGGAGCATGTGTCAGAAAACTGGAACTTAGCTTTTATAGGGCAGAGGGTCGTTAGCCAAATAACAAAAACAACCTCGCATCAACAGAGCAGATTGGAAACAAAAGCTTCAGGTTTGGAGGTAGGTAGGTTAGAGCAACTCAGCAAATTGGTGAAATAGAGACAGTTGATGTCACATCAATAATTCCTATGACAAAAAATCTTAGCAGAGGCCAGATGGCAAGAAAAGGTCTGCTGTAGGTGTTGAGAGGGATTTCTGATCAAAGAAATAGGGTCAGGGTGAGGGTGGTGGAAGAAGAGTTCAATATCTTGCTCTGTGCTAATTTTGAAATATTAACTTGCAATTAGCAATATACCAAATTACCTTTGACTGATAATAAAAAATATAATAACATAATAAAAAATAGTTTGCATTTGAAATATGATCAAGGTTATGATTTCTTTTGTACATTTGCGGCAACAAAAATAAACCAATTCTTAACTAATTAGAGCAAAGTACAATACAACATAGGAACAGGCCCTTCGGTCCTCCAAACCTGAGCCATAACATTTGGCCGACAAATTAGTTCACAATTTCATAATAATTAACACACAGGAGGCTTCAACCATGACGTCTCCAATAAAATTGCAGAAATTTAGATCAATTTACTATGCTAAATTGTTATATTATTGTGTACTACAGGCCACTTGAAATATAAACTTTGTATGGGCAATATTCAACTGCTGGAAGTTACAACTATCAAAATGTCTCCGATTGAAACAATGAAGTGTTCCTTTGTGCACAGATGCTTCCTAACCTACAGAGTGCTTATAACATTTGCAGTTTATATTTTACTTTTGAAGGAATAGATCTCTTTTAGTCCGTCTGACAAGATCCACATAGAGATGGAGGCCAACGTTCTCCTGCAGCCCAAAAGCATCAATATATTCTTGCACAAGACACTTACTTTAGTTGTAAAGCAAGAATTACCTTAGGACAGGCAAGGAGATACCCAAGGCTAGTTTGGCTGCAACATAAGCCAATGGATAACCGGTTGCTTTACTGGCCAAAGCTGAACTTCTGGAGAGACGAGCATTCACTTCAATGATAAAATACTAGAAAACAAAAGTGATATGAAAGTGATGAGAAAATGATGCTCAAGTACTACTACAATGAAATACTTTTAAAGATGAAAATGGAAGCCAAGTTAGCAAACATATTCAGAAATTCGGCAGTGGCAGTGGTACAGTGGTAATGCCACTGGTCTAACAATCTAAAACCACAATTTAAAATTCAATTATTAAAATCTGGAATTAAAGGCTTGCCTCAGTAATCGTGAAACTATCACAAAGCTAGTAATTGTCAGAAAAACCCATCTGGTTCACTAACATCTTTTAGGGAAGGAAATCTGCCATCCTTACCTGATCTGCTCCAAGGGACTCCAAACCCAATGCAATGTGATTGATTCTTAATTGAAATGGTCTAGCAATCTACTCAGTTCAGTGACATTTGGGGATGGGCAACAAATACTGGCTTTGCCATTGATGTCCACATCTCATGAACAATGAAAAAAAAAATTGACCAAGCAAGTAAGCCACATAACACCTTTAGGATTTCAAAATGAATTGAAATTTGGGTAATTCCTACTTACTGATGTATCATTTATCAAATACAGATGAATTACAATTTGAAATTAAATAATTTTTGTTCAAGTAACAAATAAAATCTCAAAACATTTTAACTATCAAACATACGTTCTATATAATTGCATCTATGTGCAAGTTCTTTATTTTCCAGAGGGAAGTAATTTATATCTTAATACCTAAGCATAGTTAAAATGGCCACCGTAGAATACGGACAGGGTGGGATGATATAAAAGCCTGACTTTTTGTGACCGTCAACGGATTTAAAACTGTTTTTTATAATACAATGTTACTATCAGCAAGAATGTTGTAAAAGGAGGTAAATAGCCATTAAACCCCAAGATGCTTCCAAATCTACTGCACTGCTCTGCTTTCAGGTATATTTACATAATCTGTACTGTTAGATGCAGAATTGTTGCATAAAAATACTGTTTTCAAATTATGACCCACTGAATTATATCTGCTTTCCGGCTGTCATTGTCATTTTTATTGAAACTGTTAAAATGTACAGAAAGTTCACTGGTCACTTCCAATCAATAAACTTTGTGGTCTGAATATGAATATATTAAAGTGTAAAGCTACTGGAAAGGAAATTCTAGTTACATGATAAAATAGCAGAGACAAATTTCATTAAGTTTAATTACAGCAGATAATTAAGAGAACCAGGAGGATCAAGCAGCACATACCTGTTCAGATTCAGGGTTCAGGGCATACTGAATATTACATTCTCCCACAACACCCAAGTGCCGTATCACTTTGATTGCCGTAGTTCTTAGCATATTATATTCTTTATCATTTAGAGTTTGGCTTGGTGCAACAACTATTGATTCCCCTGTGTGGATTCCTAATGGATCAACATTTTCCATATTGCAAACCTATAGATGTAAATAACACACACTTAGTAACTCTTGCAGTGAAAGCAAAAACCAAGATAACCACTAATTGACAGAGGCTTCATCAGTATCAGATTCTCTATACTTACTGTGATACAATTATCATAGGCATCTCTGACAACTTCATATTCTATTTCCTTCCAGCCTTTCAAAGACTTATCGATCAGAATTTGAGATGTATGTGCAAATGCTTGCGTCACTAAGGTCACCAACTCCTCTTTGTTCTGAGCAAATCCTGAGCCCAGGCCACCCAAAGCAAAGGCAGCCCGTACCAGAACTGGATAACCCAGGCGTTCTGCTGCACTTATAGCCTAATAAATTGAAGAGGGGTTAATTATTTTAGGTGAAATTTGACTCAGATGTCCAACAACACAAATGTGCAAAAAAGTTATTATACAGACCAAATGACAGTACATTTAGCTTGCAAACATAAATGCTAAAAGATTGACAAAATGTGTTTAATTCACAAACTATATGAGTCACACTACTGCCTACTTTATGGGATTCGCTTACAACTGTTGCTGCAATGTTGAGGAACATTCCGGTTCACTACAAATAGTATGCAATAATTGAGACAGGGCTTTAAAGAAAAATCAGGATTTTTACCTGATCTAAAGAGAATGCAGCTTCACTGGGTACAACATATTCATTAATTTGTGCCATTTTCTCCACAAATATTTTGCGATCTTCTGTCATCTCAATAGAAGAAACTGGAGTGCCCAAAACTCTGACATTGTATTTTTCTAACACTCCTCTTTTCTGAAGCTCCACTCCACAATTTAATGCAGTCTGTCCACCAAATGTCAGGAGGATTCCATCTGGTCGTTCATTCATAATAACCTGAAAATCCAAAATATTATGTCTCTGTATTTACATATAATGCATGGAACTCAAGTCTTAGTTACATATGCAAACATCTTGACTGCAGTTACACTGTATAAGCTGCTATTCTGTGATTTTTCTTTGTGGTAACTTCTTTCCTCTGACAACTCTGTGGGTTAGCACTCGTGCATGAAAACTCAGCTGACACAGCAGTAAGTAATAAGGTAGCACTCCACAGACAGTCTTTTGGATACATGAAATCAAGACTATATCTTCTCATTCACGCATATGTAAACGATCCCATGCCTTTAGTTAAGGCGGCAGAGAAGGTCTTAAATTAATATGTTGACTTCAATGAACACTGGCAAAGGGAAAATAAACAGTCAGTCATTCTTCTTGTTGTTAATCAGAGGACCATTTTATGCAAACATTGGTTGTCCTTACAAAAGTCGTGACTGTACTTCATGAGAAACTCACTGTTTTTAGATCTGATATGGACATTAAAAAGACAAGTTCTTTCTCTCCAATTTCTAACATTATGTTTACAAATTGTAAGCAAGATCAACTGGCCATATCGAAAATAGAGTTAATATTATTTTTTTAAATTGTGCACTTCTTCCCTCCATCTCCTCCCATCCTGAAGCCAACAACTCCTTACCAGAACAGTTCCATTTACGGTGGGAAACTTAAAACTATCAACCAAGAACTTCACGCGCTCCCCAAAGGCTGTCATACCTCATCACTAAAGGTTGAGAGGGTTGCTGGGAAAAACGCAAGTTGTACCAGACTTTCTTCTCTCCTCGGATAGAGTCATTAAGGCCACATGCATGAGTTCTATTTATTATTCGAGATAAGATTAGCCAAGGCCTTGCAAACTTAGGATCTCCCTATTTGGCATGGCTCACTACCCCAGATAAACTTCAGGTATAATGTTATCAAATGTGATACAGATGCAGGAGTTAAAATAGGCAGCCATAAAACAGTGAACTAAAGCCAAAATTGATTAAAATGACAACAAACTCTCTGATATGCATTGTTGACATGAATCAAAAGTCTCAGGAGTTAGCCAGAAATAAACTTTAACTTACTTTTGCAATGATCATGATTAGTGGCAGGTTACTTTGCTGAGGCACTCACAATAGAAATAGGTACAAAATAGGAATTTGTATATTAGCAGTGAAAGCGGCTATACCTGTGCCACATATTCCGGAGTAATAGGCAGAAAGTAGACTTTGTCTGCAAGTCCTTTAGATGTCTGTACTGTTGCAATATTTGGATTAATAAGCACTGACTGAACATTCTCCTCTTTCAGAGCTTTAATAGCCTGAAACAGAACCACCGTTTAGGTAAGATGATCAAAACACAAGCACTGAAATCTAAACAATTATTTTGAGACAAGACAATGTTAATCAAATCTAAACCAGAAAGACAAATAAAGTGGCATAACAAAGTTCAAATCACAAACTAATCTATAGTAAAGTGTCCGACTCCCAGAAATATTTCATGAATCCTTGAAGACAACCTAAACCTTTAACTTGCAAACACAAAGTCAACAAACTAGTGACATTTACTGTTGTCTTGACTTTTTTCCCAGATGGATGCACGTCACGTTCAAAATGTATCACTAACAAATTGTTCTTGATATATTTTTCAACTCACCTGAGAACCAGAATAATCGAACTCCCCAGCTTGACCAATAGACAATCCACCCGATCCAAGAATGAGGACTTTGCGAGGCTGTATTCTTCCGGACGGGATTTTACACTGGTCAGTTCCATTTTTGTAGGAATAATAAGAAATCATCCGTTCCTTAACTAAAGAACAAGACAATTTTAATATGTATCATCATTGCATTTAACAGCCACTTTATGCAATCATCCGTGTTTGAAAAAAAGAAAAATCTTAAAGCTACAATCAGTCTCTGTTTCAGAAAGGGGCAGAGATGCAGTTGAACGTGTTCAATTAATGAGCAGTATACATACTTTTTTTTTAAAGGTGGTGTTGATTCACATAAAAGTTAATGACTGATTATGTATAGTCTGCAGAGTGCTAAATCATCATTTTTCCTAAACATGCATCAGTATTAAAATGGATGAAACATATCCAATAACATATTTTATGATCTGATGAATTGACGTGGTAATTAAAGGCAATTACCAATTGCACACATTAAACCAAGTGTTGCAGTAATCACATTATGATCGCAGTACAATTTTCCTGTTCCAATACAAGTGCTACTTGGGTTTTTTTTAAAACAAGAAACCACAGCAGAATTCTTAAAAGTGTGTATTCACATTTAAACCTATCAAAAACAATGAGGCTGGATTATAATAACCATCTCGCAATTTTAACTGCACAGACTGCAATTGATGAGGAATTCACAATGATAATCACAACTTATTTTACATAAATAACACTAAATTTTATTAAGCACGCAGCAAAAAGAATTGCCAACAACTCAGTGACAAGGAGGAACAAAATGCTACAATTTCCCTTAATGCAACAGCGTGTGTGAACTGGACACATTTATTCTGATAAAACCAGAAATCAAAAGATGTATGAATTTACATCTTGCTACTTTTCTTTTTTAGATAGGAAAAAAGTCAAACTTTAAATAAGCAAAAATTAGAGAAAAAAAACTGCAGATGCTGGAATCTAAGTAGACAAACAGGAGGCTGGAAGAACACAGCAGGCCAGGCAGCATCTGGAAGAAAGGAGTAGTCAATGTTTTGGGTATTACCCTTCTTCAGACCTGTCCTCAAAACACTTCCGCCAACTCCAAATAGACCCCACCAACCGGAACATCTTCCACTCCCCATCCCTCTCTGCCTTCCGCAAGGACCATTCCCTTTGCCACTCTTTAGTTCACATCACACTCTCCACCAAGCACTCCAACCCACCCAGTACTTTCCCCTGTAACCGTCAAAGATGTAACACCTACCCACACATCACCTCCCTTACTTCCATTCAAGGCCCCAGACAGCCCTTCCAAGTGAGACAGAACTTCATCTGCATCTCCTTCAATCCAGTCTACTGTATCCGGTGCTCCCAATGTGGTCTTCTGTACATTGGCGAGACCAAATGTAGATTAGGTGACTGTTTTGCCAAGCATCTCCACCTGGCCCGTAACAGCCAACCAAACCTCCCGGTCACCACCTACTTCAAATCTCCGTCCCACTCACCTGACATATCTGTGCTTGGCCTCCTCCAGTGTCGCAGTGACTTGGAATGCAAATTTGAAGAACACCACCTTATCGCTGCCTGAGCATCCTACAGCCCCGAGGACTTAACATTGTGAGTTCTCCAATTTCAAATAACCTTACCACCCATCCCCTGCCTCCCCTTCCAGCCCCATCTCCTCCCTTCCAGCCACCAACTGGATTCATCACTCCCATTGACCAACCAGGTCGTACCTGTGTCCACCTATCACCACCATTCTGCCTCCATCCCTTCTCCCCCGCAACTTTATCTGCAGCTCCCCCTACCCCCACATCCAATCCTGAAGAAGGGTAATACCCGAAATGTTGACTGCTCCTTTTCTCTTGATGCTGTCTGGCCTGCTGGTGTTCTTCCAGCCTCCTGTTAGTCTACCTTCAAATAAGCAAAATCTATTTTGAACAAGACTTAAAAAATGTACCGAAATTCAAATCTTTAAACACCTCAACGAACTCCAGAAAGGTCAAAACAGAATTTAGTAGTAGAAAATCAACTGCTTCAGATGGCCATTTGTCATGAGTAACTGATTTAAAACATTGCATTTAGGGCTTTTTACATGACACCTTAAACATAATCTTTCAAAATGCAGAGAAAAAGAAAGTATAGATTATGAATATATCAGCCATTTAGATATTTTAGGTACTTCGCAACCAAAATGATGTCACAGTACAAAGAACATAGAAATGTACAGCACAAGAACAAGAACATTGTGCCGAAGATGATGCCAAATTAAACTAATTCCTTCTGCCTGTCCTTGATCTATATCCCTCCATTCTTTGCATACTCATGTGCTTATCTAAAAGTCTCTTAAATGCCCTATCATACCTGCCTTCACCACCACCCCTGGCAGTGCATTCCAGACTCCTACCACTCTCTGTGTAAAAAAACCTGCCCCTCTCGTCCACTTTGAATTTTCCCCGTCTCACCTTAAATGCATGCCCCCATGTGTCAGGCATTTCAACTCTTGGGGAAAAAAATTTCTGATCATCATCCCTATGTATGCATCTCATAATTTTATAAACTTCTATCAAGTCTCCCCCTCAGCCTCCACTAATCCAGAGAAAACCCAAGTTTTTCTAGCATCTCCTTACAGCTCATACCCTCTAATCCAGGCACCATCCTGGTAAACTTCTTCTGCACCCTCTCCAAAGCGTTCACATCCTTCTTGAAATGTGGCGACCAGAGCTGAACGCAATATTCTAAGTGTGGCCTAACCAAAGACTTATAAAGCTGCAACATGACATCCTGACTTTTGTACTTGTAGGGATGTGTTGTACCTGGTTACATAAGGTGACTTGTACCTAAACACACGAAGCGGACCATGCCTGCTTACAAGATGGCAGACGGAAGCTAAGCAAAACCAAGCAGCCTGCTCACACAATGAAATACAATGGTATCTTTGAACAGAACTGCTAGAAGGTCAGTAAAAAAACGCTGTACATTCCCATCCAAAACAGTTCTGATAAAAGGATGCCTTAGGACAGATAGTTGTCTCTTTGAAGCTACCAGTAATATTAAATAATTTTTAGCTAAAAATGCTCTATTCATAGAAGTTGGTTTCAATACATAACCAGAATATAAAACAAACCTTAAAAAGCATTTAAGCTTAGATGCGAAGGTTAACTAGCCTTAGAAGATGCCTTCTCTTATGCCCTGAACAAGACAGATTGCTCACAACCCACAAAATATAAAATGCTGACAGTAGAAGTAGTTATATATTACACTTACAATTAACTTTATAACAGAAGTTAACCAAAAGCAATTAGTTAAAATTAACTAACTTTTTGTTTTTACACTATGTAATTGGGACAGTGGGAAAATAGAAGGAGTAACTGAATGTGATAAAAGACTAAAATACAATGGGTAATAGAATTTGATCTGTCCTTACAGATAAACAAGCCTGAGAAAGACCCAAAGGATTATAGTAATTAAGCTTTTGGAATGTGAATGAATAGGATGCATAGAAAGATCCCAAGGCCTAGAGATTACAATGTCTAGCTAATACCATAAGGTCAAAGGAACCTGGGGCTGTCCATAGAAGTGTCCATCATCGATTAGGTGTCCCACAAGATTGGGTGCTTGGACAGGGGGGCAGGGGGAAGGACTGTGAATTATGTTGCGTTTGATTACTACAACACAAAATGTATAAAAATGCGGTATTTCTTTGTAAAGCAGAGGGTATGTCATTAATCTATCTTCCGAAGCCAGATTCTAGGAAGATTCTTTGGCCCTCTCCCTGCATAAACTGGTTTCTGCTTGAATAAACATCTTCCACTTACTGGAATCCTGCCTGCCTCCGGAGGCTTTGCCCCGGGTCGGGAATAACCCTCCTACAGTACTCAATCTCCCGGCCAATAAAGGCAAGCATGCCATATGCCTTTTTTAACCACCCCATATACATGCATGGCCACCTTCAGGGAGCTATGGACTTGAACTCCAAGATGCTGCTGTAGATCAATGCTGTTCAGAGTCCTGCCATTAACTGCAAACTTTCCTTAACATTTGATCTCCCAAAGTGCAGCACCTCACACTTACCTGGATTAAACTCCATCTGCCATTTCTCCACCCATATCTGCAACTGATCTATATCCCACTGTATCCTTTGACCACTTTCTACACTATCCACAATTCCACTGATCTTTGTATCATCTGCAAACTTACTAACCCACCCATCTACATTTGCATCTAAGTCACTTACATATATATCACAACCTGCAAAGGTCCCAGTACAGCTTCCTGTGGAACACCACTAGTCACAGACCTCCAGCCTGAAAAACACCCTTCCACCACTACCCTCTCTCTTTTATGGACAAGCCAGTTCCGAATCCAAGTCATTGTAGATCCCGTGCATCTTAATTTTATGGATGAGCCAACCATGAGGGAACTTGTCAAAAGCATTACTAAAATCCATGCAAACAACATCCACTGCTCTACCCTCATTGGTCACATACAATTCATACAAGTTAGTAAGACATGACCTGCCCTGCACAAAACCATGCTAACTCTCCCTAATTAGGCCATGCTTTTCCAAATGTGCGCAAATCCTATCCCTAAGAATTCTCTCCAACAGCTTCCCAACCATCGATCTGAGACTCACATGTCTATAGTTTCCTGGATTATCTCTATTTCCCTTCCTGAACAGAGGAACAACATTAGTTACTCAAGTCCTCTTGAACCTCTCCAGTGGCTAGCAAGGATAAAAGATCTTGGTCAAAGCCCCAGCAATCTCCTCTCTTGCCTCTTTCAATAACCTGGGGTAGATACCATGAGGCCTCAGGGACTTATCCACCTTAACGCTCTTCAAGACACCCAACACCACTTCTTTCTTGAGCTCAAAATGCCCTAGCATATTAACACGCTCCACACAAATCTCACTATCCGCCATATCCATTTCATAGGTGAATGCCGATGCAAAGCGATCATTTAGGATCTCGCCCACATCCTCTGCCTCCAAGTACAAGTTCTCTCCTTTATTCTTGAGTGTTCCTACCTTCTCCCAAGTTATCCTTTTGTTTTGAACATATCTATAGAATGCCTTGGGATTCTCTCTAACCCTACCTGCCAAGGTCATTTCATGCCACTTCGTACGCTCCCAATTCCTGGCTTGAGTACTTTCTTGCTTTCATTATATTCCTCATGGGCCATGTCTGATTTTAGCTTCTTAAGCCTTACATATGCTTCTTTTTCTCCTTTTGACTAAATTCACAACCTCCCTCGTTATTCAATGGTCCCTTACCTTGCCATCCGTCCTTCCTCCTTACTGGAACATGCCGATGAATTCTTAGGAGGAAAAGAAACACCAGAGACAATGCAACACATATTTTAAAAATCTGAATATGCATTAGCTTCCATTTCACTTTTGGATCCATTGAAATCTGTAAAGTGTAATTGTGAGGCATGACATCCAGCTCAAAACAGTGCTCTTACCAGTTTTTTCCGAATTAACTCCTTGCTTCACATCCCGTACGCAATCCAGAAAGATATCGAAAAGATTCTCAAGATCTGTTGGTCCTGCCATATGCTCTGGGTGGAACTGGACACTGGGCATATTAAAAAAAGTTAGAATAATAAAAAGGACTAATCATTTGGTTTCTTGAATTCTGCATAACTAGCCACAAGGCCAGCAAAGCCACAAAATCAGCATACCAAGCCTGAATGAAAAAAAACTGATGAGTTAGTAGCTTGGTTGTTCAGCCCAAGACTGCTTGTTTCCAGCTGCCGAAACAGCAGGTAAAACTCCAAAGCTCTATTACCTTGTCCTAGATCATTCTAAATTCTTCAAGATGACTTTGACTAGTTTCAGAAGTCAATAACCAACTTCTAAATTTTAACTAACTTCAGACTCTGACAGCAAAGGAAACTGGGGAAAGACCTCATTTTCTGAAACATTTAAAAATACTTGGATTATGTATTTAAAGTGTCTTAACCTCCAGAGCACACGCTGAATACCCTTCTTCTGTGCCATAAATCTGTGATTCTAAGTGCAGCCAAGAAATAGTCAGAGGTAGACAATAAGAATGAGACCTGGCAACAGAAGTGAATGATATACAAAAATATACAAGCTATCTCAATAATTAGATTCAGAGTTCAGGTTCCAATCCCATTCCCTTGCAACACCAAGATTGCACTTTCTAACTCGGTCATCTCTGTCTCAGCCCCTCTGCTGGAATTCTCATCCATGCTTGTGTTAGCTTCAACCTCAGCGCTTTTACTGAACTGAATTTTATTCTGAAGCATCTTGGGGCACTTTACTGTACCACAGAAATGCACTCTGCTACTATCACAGTAACTGCAAAATTAAAAGAAAAAAAGTGCAATTTCCTTTTCAAAGCACTTACCTGAATAATGGTTTAGTATTGTGAACTATTCCTTCATTAGAGTCATCATTAGCATTGGTGAACAAAACAGACCAATCCTTTGGAAGAGAACTCGGTTCAACAGCAAAGCCATGATTCTGCGAAGTGATAAAGCAACGCTGTGTATCTTCGTGAACACAAGGCTGGTTATGCCCACGGTTTCCATACCTTAACAGAAAATAAAAACAAATCTTTTCTTACTAGAAAATGTTCAGCATTCAAAAGAATCTGTAAATCCTAGTATTCAATGGTCTACCATAATGGTAACCAAAAAAGATCAGTTTCAGCATAACATGACATGATACAGAATGAATTCAGCTCAGTCATTACTCAAGTAGAATCAGTCTGGGTAGGTACAGTAGATTGTAAATTGGATAAGTGCAATGAACATTCCCTATTCAGGGTACCGCTTCGGATCCAGTGACCCTTCCTCAGAACTGATTGTAACGAGGAAAATGTTGGCTTATATGCCGAAGATAGAGTTGGGGGGAGGGGGAAAAGGAGTAAATGATAGGTGGGGATAGAGCCCAAAGAGAGGCTAATAGCAGGCTATGTGTAAGGCTTAGTGTGTGGGGTAGGGGGCTAGGACATGGGAGAGATCAGGCCCTAAAATTATTGAACGCGATGAGTCCAGTGTGCTGCAGGGTCCCCAAGCGGAAAACGAGGTGCTGTTTTTCTGCTTGCACTGAGCTTCACTGGAACACTGCGGCAAACCTGCGACAGTGATGTTAGCTAGGGAACAGGGTGGTGTGTTAAAGTGGCAGGCAACTAGAAGCTCAGGGTCTTCTTTATGAGCAGAATGTACACGTTCTGCGAAGTGGTCACACAGTCTACACTTCACTTCCCCAATGTAGAGGAGACCACGTTGTGAGCAGCAAATGCAGGACACTAGATTCTGGTAAGTGCAGGTAAAGTGCTGCTTCACCTGGAAGATATATTTGGGCCCTTGGATATTAGGAGGGAGGAGGTTGCAGGGGAAGGTGCCGTGGAGCTGTTGGGAGGGGTTGGGGTTTGGTAGTAATGGAAGAGAGGACCAGGGTGTTTCGGAGGGAGTGGTCCCTGCGGAAGGCGGAAAAGGGAGGGGAATATGTGACTAGTGGTGGCAACTTGCTGGAGGTGGCGGAAATGGCAACTGACGGTCTTCTCGAAGTGGATGCTGGTGGGATGGTAGGTAAGGATGAGGGGATCTCTATTATTGTTGCAGAAGGTCAGAGAGGGGGTGAGGGCGGAAGTGCGGGAGATGGGTCGGATACGGTGGAGGGCTCTGTTGACAACGGTGCTGAGGAATCCTCAGTTGAGGAAGATGGTGGACATTTCGGAGGCTCCCTTGTCAAAGTTAATCTCATCAGAACATGTGCGACAGAGACAGAGGAACTGAGAGAATGGAACAGAGTCCTTCAGGAAGCAGGGTGTGACAAAGTATAGTTCAGGTAGCTGTGGGAGTCAGTGGGTTTATAGTGGATACTAGTGGCCAGTCTATCCCCAGAAATGGAAACAGAGATGTCAAGGAAGGGAAGGGAGAAGTCAGAGATAGACCAGGTGAAAGTGAGAGCAGGTGGAAATTGGAAGCGAAATCGATGACCCTTTCCAATTCCAGGCGAGAGAGGGAAGCAGCACCGATGATACCGTTGATATATTGGAGAAAGTGTTGTGGTGGAGGCCTGGAAGGAATGTTCCACGTACCCCACAGAGATAGGCATAAGTGGGGTCCATGCGGGTACCCATGGCCACCCCTCTGGCCTGAAGAAAATGAGAGGAGTTAAAAAAAAAAGTTGTTGAGGGTGAGGATGAGCTCGGCCAAGCTGAGGAGGGTGATGGTGGTTGGGGATGGTTCAGGCCTTTGCTCCAGGAAGAAGCAGAGAGCCCCGAGACCATCCTGGTAGGGGACGGACATGTAAAGAGATTGCACGACCACAGTAAAGGGGCATTGGCTGGAGCCTGCAAACTGCAAATTCTGAAACTGGCGTAAAGTGTCAGAGGAATCATGGGTATACATGGGCAGGGACTGGACCAAGGCAGAAAAAGCTAAGTCAGGTAAGCAAAGATGGGTTCTGTGGGGCAGGAGCAGGCTGAGGTAACGGGTCTGCCTGGGCAGTCCTCGTTGAGATAGCAGTGAGCTGTGCTGGGCTGGGGGACTATCAGCTTGGAGGCAGTGGTGGTTGCAGGGGAGGGGGAAAAGAGTCACCAGATGAAATGAGGTCGTTTACTGTGGTAGATACAATGGCCTTGTGCCATGGTGGGGTCGTGGTCCAGGGGAAACTGTGCCAACTCAGTGCAAGCTGGAAGAACAACACCTCATTTTCCACTTGGGGACCCTGCAACCTTCCAGACTCAATATCAAGTTCAATAATTATACAGCCTGAACTCTCCCATGTCCTAGCCCCCTATCCCATCCATTGTCATCTCTCAGCCTGCCATTATACACTACCTATTGTTAGCCATTAACAGCCTCCATTAACAGCTATTCACCCACCTAGCCAGATCGTTATCAACTCCTTTATCTGTCCAACTGTTTTTCTCTCTTTGGGCTCTCTCCCCACCTATTGTTTACTCCTTTACCCCTCCCCCCACCCGATCTTTTGCATATAAACTGGCATTTTCCTAGCTACCATCAGTTCAGATGAAGGGTCACTGTATCCAAAACGTTAACTCTGATTTTTCTTCACAGATGCTGCCAGACCTGCTGGGCTTTTCCAGTAACTTCTGTTTTTGCTCCTGATTTACAGCATCCACAGTTCTTTCAGCTTTTATTCCCTATTCAGAGCTTCCCAGCAATTCAAAATCAAAATTTTAAAGCAGATTTCAGAATATTGACTCTAAAAAGATCTTATACTATTGGAGACCACACTGGAAGCCTTCAAGAAAAAAGCTGAAATTTAGTTCAAAGTGTGCTAGGAGAAGAACCATCAACAATTCTCAAATGCAGCAACCTAATTTAATTTGGAACAACAAAAAACAACTGAAAATGGTTTATTCAGAATTGCGTTACAAATGTTTTACAAGAGCAACTAAGTTAAACAGCTTTACTTTGCAAAGTTACATTTAATTGCATTCATTTTGACAGAGAACTTAAGCACCTAACAATGAAACTTCACAAGATACAATCAAATTTTAAGGGCTAAAATCAAACCTCCCTCCTCTCAAATACTACATTTCAAAACACCAGTGCTCTGGGAAAATGCTTTTTTTTTGCAGAAGGAATGCCACTTTTAAACACCATGCTAATGAATTTCCTTTTTCTATATAGTTATCATCTTAGTTAGCCAAGTTAATTGTTTGCAGGAAACTAGTCAATACAATTGCAAGTGGAAATCAAAACAAATGTCTGCTTAGGTCACTCATCAGGACAATAACTACAATTAAAACCAGATTTCAAAGTCAAAATCAAAATTGTCTTACATCCCAAAGAGTCCACCAAGACTGGGTAGCTGAAAGTCATTGTTTGCCAAATCAAAGCAATGAGCAATGCAGACATCATTTATCTTATCACTCGCTCTTCGACTGGTGCCATCTAAATCCTTTCCTTTCACTTATCTTTACATCATGTTCCTCTACAAATACTTATCATCAACTTTCTTACTTTCAACTGTCTAGGACTATATTTTGCAATGACTAACACTCAACGCTAATAAATTTATAAACCTCTACTCAAATTCTCCTAACTTCCTTTATTCCAGGGAAAAATGTTCAAGTTTTCAAAGCATTCTTCATAACCATAACATTTTATTCTTGACACTATTCTTTTGAATGTTATCACATCTACATGATAGGTACAGTGAGATTTTAGAGTAGATTTGTAGCTTGCGTTGTGGATATTGTGGTTGGTTGCTCGCCCAGCTGGTTCGTTGTTCCGCAGACATTTCGTTACCCTGCTGGGTAAAACATCATCAGTGCAGCCTCCAATGAAGCGCTGTTGTGTTTTCCCGCCTATTATTTAAACTCTGGTGTCCGTCAAGCTGGATTACCTCACTTCCAGTTTTCCTTCGCAATGGAGTGTATACGGGGTTGAGCTCTGAGTTTATTGCTGGCTTTCTTAGTGGAGTACCAGGCTTCTAGGAATCCCTGTGCTTGTTTCTGCTTTACCTGTCCCAGGATCCTGGTGTTGTCCTAATTGAATTGGTGGTTCTTCTTATCCATGTCGATAGAGATGAGTGAGTATTGGTCGTGTCTTTTTGTTGCCAAGTGATGTTAGTGTACCCTTGTGGTTGATTTTCTTCCTGTTTGTCCAATGTAGTGTTTGTCACAGTCTTTGCAGGGAATCTTGTATATGACATTCGTCCTGTCCATAGTGGGTAGTGGGTCTTCGGTCCGGGTGAGCAGTTGGCATAGGGTTGATGTGGGTTTGTGTGCTACTGCTATTGGGCATCAGCACACTACATTGGACAAACAGAAAGGAAATTAACCACAAGGGTACACAATCAACAACCGGCAATAAAAAGACACAACCAATACTCACTCATCTCTATCCACATGGATAAGGAGAACCACCAATTCGATTGGGACAACACCAGGATCCTGGGATATGCAAAGCAGAGACAAGCATGGGAATTCCTAGAAGCCTGGTACTCCACTAAGAAAGCCAGCAATAAACACAGAGCTTGACCCCATATACACTCCATTGTTAAGGAAAACCGGAAGGGAGGTAATCCAGCTCAACAGACACCAGAGTTTAAATAACGGGTGAGAAAACACAACAGCGCTTCATCAGAGGCTGCACTGATGTTACCCAGAAGGGTAATGAAACTTCTGCGGAACAACGAACCAGTTCGTTGAGCCAACCAACCACGACAAGTACGATATTACTTGTTCCAAATTAAAAGGAGTAATGTTCCAACTGTAGTCCAATTATTGGCTTCCATGAAGTCAGTATCAATTCTTTAATTTTATATTGAATAATTTATGCACATCTTCAAAATTCACTTTTCCCTTTTTGAAGTCTTTCTCAACTACAGATCTACATTTCAGAACCAAATGAATTTAGTTTGCCTAATTTGTTTCATTGAACAGTGAAGAGTTTTAATTTTTAAGTAAATAGCAAAATGATTGAACACACTTAAATAAATCAAAAAGCCTCCATTTACATATACAGTCTCAATAATTTAAATCCCATGTTTGAAGTCATTGGGCAAAAACATAACTATTAACTCTCTGTACCATTGCTATTCATTGCACTCAGTTCCAAGAACATACATAAAAGAGCATCTCATAAGGTGCACTGAATACAATAAGAGTCAAGCAGACTTCTGTTAGGCAATGACAGTGTTAATGAGCAAAAAAACATGATATCATTTGCAGACAATTGTACTTCACAGTGAAACTACAAAAACAGTGACTACTTTACTATGTATTGTGAAGACATACAGGGGGCTCTGCTATAACGGTTTCGTTGTGTTCCTGTGCAACATCGCATTATAGAAATAATGGAGCTTATGGGAAAAGCGGGATTAGGGGCAGACTACCAAAAATATCACTCAAAAACCTAACACAAAGGATAGTATGGTTTGAATAAATGTTTAATTCATATCTAATAAAGAAATTAAAGCAAATTAAACACCTTATCTTGAAAAAATGTCAAGATGGTTTGATGGGGGAAGGAGGTTTCAAGGTTGCTCTATCGTTAATGCAGGTGCTGACAGTCATCATCTTCAGGTGCATTTGTGGTTGCAGGGTTAGGGCAAAAAAGTAGTTAATTCAGAAGTGGATGGCTACGGTTCATGGGATAACAAGGTGTAGAGCTGGATGAACACAGCAGGCCAAGCAGCATCATAGACCCTTGGGTCCAGGCCCGAAATGTCAGCCTTCCTGCTCCTATGATGCTGTTTGGCCTGCTGTGTTCATCCAGCTCTACACCTTGTTATCTCAGATTCTCCAGCATCTGCAGTTCCTACTATCTCGGCTACGGTTCATGGTTTTCTGACTGTTTCTTGAAGCTTGGCTTAAAAAAAAAGTAAAATTTTTGCTTCTTTGTCCTTTTTCTTCTTTCATGAAGAAGCTGTTTATGGGGTGCCAAATAAGATCTTATTCCACAAACTGCCACCCTGCTGCATTCTGCATTGTAATCGGTGTCCTCTGCTTCTCAATTTCCCTCAGGATAGAAGACAAAACAGAAGTGGCAAGCTATCGTGGTGCTGTAACCTGAACTACTACTTCTTCCATTTCCAGCTTCCACTTCCCCCTCCCCCTCAGTGACAAGTTGTTGTAGATCAGCTGTACAGAGGTTTTCACAGTGGGACTCAAGCAGCTCTTCACCATCCTCTCTCTCCACTTCTTCAAATCCAACTTGCTTTTACAAGATCAACACAATATTCTTTGATTCTTGGGAGCTCCTCTGAAGAATCAATAGTTTTAAAATCTTGGAAAAAAATATGGGAGAAGCTTCCACCAAACTGCATGCAAGCAGTCCTTACTGACATCATCCCAGGCCTCCATGATGATGTCAATTGCATTCTTGATGTTAAAGATCTTCCAAAATTGAAGAACACTGTCCTTATACCCCTCAGTGGCTGCAATCAGCTCTTAAGTGTGCATCTTAAATAATGAGCTTTAAAAGTTGCACCCTGGGTTGAAGGAGAGGTTGGAATCGATGGAATTGTGTTACACTCAACACAAGTTCGCGTTTTAGAAATAGCGTTCCCCCTATTCGTCAGTCACATTATAGCCAATTCGCATTGCCAGAACACATTATAGCAGAACCCCCTGTATTAGTTTTGGATAAATTAGAATTTAGTTTATACCAGAAAAGATATTTCCTGTACCTACAGCAAACATCTTATTAACCGGCACCTATGGGACCTGCAAGGTGCCAATTGATCAAATACTCCATTTGATCAAGAGATCCATGTAATCAATGTACATCACTATTATACTTTACTTACAGTATAAATCACAAATAAAAATGCAAATTTGCCTCAAATAAAAATTATCAGCAGGAAGCCTTCTCACTTGCATCCTCAACTCAGACATCACAGAAATTGCTATAATATGGTAAACTTGCAATATTTAGGTATATAATTTTTACTAGTTTATCAAGCGTGCTGGTTCATAAATTGCCAGTTAAAACAAAGTTTGCTGTATTTTGAAGCAACCATCCACCAGAGGCTGTTATGATTGTAGATGTCATCCTAAGTCTTAAAAATTTAGTGCATGACCAAGAATTGATTTATGGTCCGGTGAGGAAGGGTCACCGGACCCAAAACGTTAACTCTGTTTTCTCCTTCACAGATGCTGCCAGACCTGCTGAGCTTTTCCAGCAACTTTGTTTTTGTTCCTGATTTACAGCATCTGCAGTTCTTTTGGTTTTTAATTTCAATTCCCATACTGGCTGAGGTTACCATGAAAGACTCTCCTTCTCAACCTCTCCCTTAGCCTGAGGCTTGGTGACCCTCCGGTTAAACCACCACCAGTTGCCCTTCTCCAATGAGAGCAGCCTATAATCCGCTAGGATTATGGCAACGTTATTTTTATAATGCAATGGAAGTTAACATTAAGTTTGGAAGTGTTGTGGAATAATCAACTGAACGCTTTCTGATGTCAATATCATTTTCAAAGTCAGAATTTTAAAACAGCAACGTATTGGGTGGATTTCTGATCTGTAAAAAAAAAATCAGTGACATAAGCCAGTATGTGTCAGGGAGCAGAGAATTGCTGTAGTGTTATTGGAATATTGCATGCATTGTACTGGTTTATCACTGGGAGTATAAACATTGAAGGCCAATGTTTTGTTTGTTTTTAGTGCAGAATAATCAAGGATGATTTTAGCTTTGAAAACCCAGGGATTACAAGTTTTCAGGCAGTTTGAAGGAGATGAGAGTCAGTTGCAAGCATAGTTTCCCTCCTGAAAAAAAGTTAGGGGAAGAACAGTTAACTCAGTAGAAAAATTTGGCTTTAGAAGAATTAATATATGGCTCACAATAAACTTGCATTCTGTCGAAGGCTCAAAAATCTAGCAGGCAAGGTGATCCAACCACAGTTACCAAGTTCAAGTGTATACAGACCACAGGAAGAGGCTCAACAGTTGCTAGCAAGTCTGATGATTGGGAGATGTTAGATTTAGGGGATACTTGGATAGAGCATGAAAATGGCACAGAGGTAAGATCGATGACTATTAGGGTGAATGCTAGAAAGGCTCAAAGAACCGTATGGCCTTGCTCTTGATCCTGTTTCCTATGTTTCTATCAGCTAGCTCAATGATAATTAATTGTAGGCACCTATGATCCAACCCGTGAAGCAAACTTGGTATTCTCCAACCAAATCACTAAAGATACTTACAGTCTGTAATCTTCACAAAAAGGTTCCTGCCACAAAACAAAAAAAAAATGCAGGTCTAAACAAAATAAACACTTACTTCATTTTATATGTCTTGGCTCCAGCTGCTAGTGAAAGAATCTGATGACCCAAACAAATTCCAAATAATGGTTTTGGCTTCTCTTCACAAACAACTTTTCTGAGATTGCTAATTGTTAGTTGACAAAACTCAGGATCTCCCGGTCCATTACTTAGAAATAACCCATCAAGCTCTGTAAAACACAGATTAGTAATCTTGAGCAGGAATTTCAAATAATTAATAGATTCTTTCCCAGAACTTCACCAAAATAGATACAGCCATTGGTACTCATGGGCTTCATTTTCAGTTTTAGGAAGTGGCTTAAATTCTCCTGTCTACTTTTTTGTAGGTATTATCTTGGTGTGACTTAGGACTCCCTTGCAAGAGTGAAACAAATCTGACACTGCACAGAGAAGGAAACATTTGGTAACTACAACTTCAATATGCATTTCAAAATTTCTAGTTGACAACATAACAAATCTTCAAAAATTACATGTGAAATCCAATACCAGCATTTATTCCAATTTGCTTACAAACCTAAAAACAAATCATAACAACATCCCTTTCCAAAAAGGGAGTATCTCAGCTTGGTACTGCAAATTTTTTTTTGAAAAAAAGGCTTTACAAAATCATGCCCCATATATAAATGACTACTTCCTGGTGCACTTCAATTCTATACTTTATTCCACTCCTGTTTTATCAAGAATCTTTATCTTATGGCTAAGCCATAACATGAAACATGGCGCATCGACGTAGACAGATCAATAGATGGGACTCAAAAGATGGAAGATTTTAGGATGCAGTGCAATTATTGCAGTGCATATCACACAGGTTTCCAACTTTGCTTATTCTTTCATGCCAGGTAAAATAGTGCAGTTTAGGATCGTATCACGCTGGCCAATTAGGGAGGAAGGCATTGGTAAAGGTAGCGTAGGAAGGCAGGAGAACAACCTAATATTCTGTTCAGCATGAAACATTTAAAAGGATTAAGAACAACTGCAACAATGTTTCTGATATGGTACTTAATATAGTTTTGCAATGATATCATTTCTAACATTTTTTAAAAAACAAAAAATTGATTCATGGTGCATGGACGATAGACAGGGCCAACAGCTGTGGCCCATTCCCAAACCTTCCCTTCAAAAAAGTGGTGGTGAACCTCCATCTCAACTTGCTGCAGTGTACCTGGTTCAACTTTTCGGTAGTGGCTTGGAACATGCAGTACTTTAAAGGATATTTCTGCTCACCTTCGTTACTAATAGGATAATCCCATGGTACTACAATGACAGAAGCACCTCTCTTACAAAGGCTTCTGATTTGGTTGTACTTCATCCCACAGTCCACTGCCATAATTTTCACATCTCCAGAAGGATTGTATACTTTGGGCTCCTAATAATAAAACAAAGAGAACAGCTTTTAGCAGATCACCTTTGTAACTCACGGAGCAGAAATGCAAGATGTCTGGTGACCAAAATTCATTAGATCTTGGTAAGCCATTAGACAAAGTGTGTGGGAGAATTTAGTTTCATTGCTGCATGTAAATAAAACCACTGTGTAGCAACAAAACGTTGCAAGTATTAGGGCATGAATGAGACTTGTGGGAATAGTTAAAAAGTATAGGATATATATTACATACAAATACTGATGCTTTAATATTGTTAAAAATAACTTTTGCTGGCATCACTGCTGTAGCATCAGCAGCACTCTGATACATTCTACAATCAGCAGTAAGCTATATACTGCCCTCATGACTACAATGCAGAAGGATAGGGATACAAATGATAACAGGAATCCTATAATGTAAAGGTTAATTATAGCACCTTAACACAAACACTTCAGCTAATTTGAATCTTTCCAGTCTGTAGAGCACAGCAGCTTCTACTTTGCTTGAAAACCACTGCTATTTGAGAGATACTACTGCTGATATCTGAAAAAAAAAACATCAACTGGATTGCAGAAAGCCAACATTATTTATGAAAGGCAAATCTGCTTAACATCTATTGGCATCGATTGAGGATTTAACTCAATAGAGTAGAATAGGTAAGAATATGGTGCATTTGGATTTTCAGAAGGCAAGTGAAAACTAAGAGGTTCCACATACTTCAGTCACCTGCCCTGGCTTATTGCCCAAAAGAAGGTCTGGTTTTGCTCCTTCTCTAGTAAGAGCATCCATATATTGATAAAGTATGTGGATGCTCCTACTAGAAAAGGAGCAAAAATAGACAGTTCTGGGCAATAAGGCAGGGTAGGTGACTGAACTGAGAGTGGGGGAACAGTTTGGGTCTAGTGATCATAATTCTGTTAGTTTCAAAATGACTATGGAAAAGGATAAGCCTTCCACAAAAGTTAATGTTTTTAATTGGAGTAAGGCAAATTTTAATGGTATGAGACAAGAACTTTCAAGGTTGATTGCAGTAGACTGTTCACAGGTAAACGGTCTTCCGACAAGTGGGAGGAATTCAAAAGTGTGATGACGCAAGTTCAGAGGCATTTTGTTCCTGTTAGAGTGAACAGTAATTCTGGTAAGACAAAGGAACAATGGATGAGTAAAGATATTGAGATTCTAGTCAAGAATAAAACAGAATCTTATCTTGGATATAGACAACTTGGTTCAATTGAATCTCTTAATCAATATAAAGAGTGTAGGGACATTCTCACGAAAGAAATCAGGAAGGCAAAGACAGGTTATGAGCTAGCATTGGCAGATAAGGTTAAGGATAATCCAAAGAGTGTCTAAATATACATCAAGAGTAAGAAGACAGGGTCCCTTAAGGATCAAGGAAGTCATCATTGTATTGCACCCCAGGAGATGGGAGAGACACAAAATGAATATTTTGCATCAGTTTTTACTGTGGAGAAAGAAATGGAGTCTGCAGAACGTAGAGAAATAAATTTTAATGTTTCAAAAGCAGTTCACATTACAGAAGAGGATGTCCAGGAAGTCTTAAGAGAATATAAAAGTGGATAAACCTCTGGGATCTGATCAAATGTATCCCAGAACATCGTGGGAAGTAAGGGTGGAAATTATGAGACCCCCTGCAGAAATACTTGCATCATCAATATCTACGTGGGAGGTGCCTGATGAGTGGAAGATGGCTAATGTTGTACTTTTGTTTAAAAAAGGTTATAAGGAGAAACCAGGCAACTATGGACCTGTGAGTCTGACTTCAGTTGTGGGTAAATTGTTGGAGGTGATTATAAAAGATACGGTTTATGGACATTTGGAGAGGCAAAAATTGATTAGGGATAGTCAACATGGTTTTGTGTGAGGAAAATCATGCCTCACAAACTTGATTGAGTTTTGAGGTTATCAAAAAGGTTAATAATGGCAGAGCAGTAGACATTGTTTATTTAGATTTTAGTAAAGATCTTGACAAGGTTCCAGATGGTAGACTAATTAGTAAAGTTAGGTCACATGGGATTCAGGGTGAGCTTGCCAATTGGATGCATAATTTGCCCAAAGGCAGGAGCCAAACAGTAGTGGTGGAGGGTTGTTTTTTGGACTGGAGGCCTGTCACCAGCGGTGTTCCACTGGGATCAGTTCTGGGTACTCTTTTGTTTGTCATTTATATAAATGATTTGGATCTCAATATAGAAGGCATGGTTAGTAAGTTTGCAGGCAAGACCAAAATTAGTGGTATAGCAGACAGAAAGCCTTCTTCACTAAAATTACAAAAGGATCTTGACCAAATGGGTCAATGGGCTGAAAAATAGCAGATGGAGCTCAATCTGGATAAATGTGAGGTATTGCATTTTATCACAACAAACAAGGCTAGGGCTTATACAATTAATGGTAGGGCCTTTGGTAGTGTCGTAGAACAGACAGACCTAGGTGTGCAGGCATATAATACTTGGTAGTTTGCATCACATATAGAGAGAGTAGTTAAAAAGACATTTGGCACGTCTGCCTTCATTGCTCAGTCCTTTGAGTATAGGATTTGGGAAGTCATGTTAAGGTTGTACAGGATGTTGGCGAGGTCTCTTCTGGAATACTGTGTCCAGTTCTGGTCGTCCAATTACTATCAAGCTAGAGAGGGTTCAGATGAGATTTACCAGGTTGTTGCGAGGTATAAAAGATTTGAGTTATGAAGAAAAGCTGAATAGGCTGGGACCTTTTTTCACAGCAGCGTAGGAAGTTGAGAAGCCATTTGATAGCAGTTTATAAAATAATGAGATGTATGGATAGAGTTAATGGTAGTTGTCTTTTCCCAAGGATAGAAGATTTCAAGACTAGCACGCACACTTTTAAGGTGAGAGGAGAGATTTAAAACAGACACGAGAAGCAAGTTTTTTTTTAACACAGGGTGGTTCGCACGTGGAATGAACTTCCTCAGGAAGTGGTGGATGTGGGTACAATTACAGCGTTTAAAAGACATTTGGATAGATAAATGAATAGGAAAGGGATGTGGGACAGCAGCAGGCAGGTGGGACTACTTTAGTTTGGGTTTATATTCAGCATGGATTGGTTGGACCGAAGGGTCGGTTTCTAAGCTGTATGGCTCTATGAGAAGTTAATGGGCAAAGTTAAATCATGAGATAGAGGGTAATATACTGGCACTGATTGAGAATTGTTTGACAGATAGGAAAGAGAACATGAATACATGGATCTTTTTCCCTGGTGGCAGGCAGTGGCGGGATACTGCAAGGATTAGCGGTTGGTCTGCAGCTAATCAGAATAGATATAAATGACATGAATGAGGGAATTGAATGCAAAATTTCCAATTGTGCTGATGAAATAAAACTAGGTAGGATTGAGAGTTGTAAGGAGGATGCAAGGAGGTTTCATGGCAAATTAAGTTGGGTGGACAAACATATGGCAGATACAGCCCAATGTAGCTAAATGTGAAATTATAACTTCAGTGTGCAAAACATGAAGGCAGAATATCAGTTAAATGCTGATATATTTGGAAACGTGGATGTACAAAAGAACCTGTAAATCAGTTAATGGAAGTAGGCAGGCAGGTGCAGCAAGCAATTAGGAAGCTAAATGGTATATGTGACTTCGTTGCAAGAGGATTCGCATTCAGAAGTAAAAATATCAGAATGGCTGTCATACAGAGCCCTGGGTGAAGCAACACCTGCAGTATTGTGAACAGTTGTGGTCTCACTACCCAAGAAAGGATATACCTACCATACACAGAAGCAGAAGTTCACTGCACTGATATCAGGGATAGCAAGACCACCTATGAAGAGTGATTGGTTCAACTGCACCTGAATTCACTGGATGTAAGGGAATCTGATTGAAACACATAAAATGTTAATATGGTTGGATAGACTAGATGCAAGGAGGATGTTTCCCCTGGTTGGGAAGTCTAGGACAAGGGATCACAACCTCAGGATACAGGACAGACTGTTAGGACTCAGATGAGGAAAAATTCTTTCACTCAAAGGGAATTTTCTACCACAGAAGGCTGTGGATACCAAGTCATTGAATATATTCAAGAAAGAGATGGGGAAGTTTTGAGATTTTGAAGGCATAAAGGGGAATGGGGAGAAAAGAGGAATATAATGTGAGTTCATCTATTTTGGTAGGGATAATAGGAAAATGGACTATTATTTAAATGGTGAAATATTGCAGCATGCTGCTGTGCACAGGGACCTGGGTGTCCTTGTGCATGAATCTCAAAAGGTTGGTTTGCTGGTGCAGCAAATAATTAAGAAGGCAGATGGAATATTATCCTTCATTGCTACAGGGATGGAGATTAAAAACAGGCAAGTTATGCTGCAGTTATATAGGGTGCTGGTGAGGTCACACCTGGAGTACTGTATAGAGTTTTGGTCTCCTAATTTGAGAAAGGGTGTACAGGCACTGGTGTGTTGCAGAGGCAGTTCACTAGGTTGATTCTGGAATTGAGGGTTGGCTTTTGAGGAGAGATTGAGTAGACTGGAACTATACTTATTGGAATTTAGAAGAATGAAGGGGGAATCTTAGAGAAACATATAAAATTACAAAGGGAATAGATAAGACACGAGCAGGAAGGCTGTCTCCACTGGTGGACGAAACGACAACTATGGGGCAATAGCCTTAAAATAAGGGAGAGCAGTTTTAGGATTGAGTTGAGGAAGAACTTCTTCACCGAAAGGGTTGTGAATCTGTGAATTCCCTGCCCAGTGAAGCAGTTGAGTCAAGCTTGTTGCATGTTTTTATGGCAAAGATAGATTGATTTTTGAACAGAAAAGGAATTAAGGGTATACAGTGAGTGGGCGGGGTCCAAAAAAAAAAAATCAGCCATGATGTTATTGAGTGGCAGAGCAGGTTCAATGGGCCAGATGGCCTACTCCTGCTCCTACTTCTTACGTTCTTAAAGCAGAACTGGTAAGAGTGAACCGACAATTTGGGTTAAGGTAAAGGTCAATCACGGTACTGCAAGCTATTTAAGCAGGGGGACACAAAACAAATGTAGTGGTAGTCGGCGACAGCACAGTCAGGAGATTGATATTTTTCTTTGCAGCCAGAAGTGAGTCCAGTTGGCTGTGTTGTCTGCCCAATGCCAGGGCTCAGGGTATTTGCTTAGGGCTAGAGAAGAACTTGCAGTGAAAGGGGAGGATCCAGTTGTCATGGCCTATGTAGGCAATGATATAAGCAGAACTAGGAAAGAGGTTTTGTACAGCCAGAATGAGGAGCTAGGCACCAAATTAGGAAGCAGAACCTCAGAAGTATTGAAAGGCAAAATTACTATAGTTCCAGAGGACTACAGACTGCTTCCTCATCAGAATGGCAGTTGGTGGTGAATTTAACCTGAGAGTCACCATGCCTCAGGTGAGGGAGGAAGCTGAGTTGGCACGATCTTCATGGTAACCACAGCCAGTATGGGAATTGAACCCATGCTGCTGGCATCACTCTGTATCACAAACCAGTCATTCAATTGTGTTGCAATGACGTACATTTAAGGAAATATTCCAGAAAACTCAGAATAGATACATTCCAATACAAGTCAAAGATAACATTAAATTTGAAAAGACATATAAATATGCAAAGGTAGGTGGCAGGTCAGAAGGTTGGACAAACTATAACAGGGTAAAAAATTACTACAAGATTGATTAATAAGGAGGGAAAGGTTGGACTGTAAGAAAAACTTAGCGAAAAGTATAAAAACAGATAGGAAAAGTTTCTTCAGATATTTGAAAGGAGAGTTAAAGTAAGGATTGGTCCTAAGGAAAATAGGAGTCTGGGGAATTAGCAATAGAATATAAAGTGACAGCAGCAAAATGAATTTCTGAAGAAGGGTCTAGGCCCGAAATGTCAGCCTTCCTGCTCCTCTGATGCTGCTTGGCCTGCTGTGTTCATCCAGCTCTGCACCTGGTTATGTCAGATATTTTGTATCAGTCTTCATTAGAGAGGATACAAATAACATCGCAGAAATAGCTGTAGTTCAGGAATTGACAGGGAGGGAGGAACTCAAGAAAATTATCATCAGGGAAGCAGTATAGAGCAAATTGTTGGAATTGCATGTTCACAAGTCCCTAGGTCCTAATGGATTTCATTCTAAGATCTTAAAAGAAGTAGTTAGTGAGTTAGTTGCATTGGTTTTAATTTCAGGGCAGGTTCCTTCAGATTGGAAAATAGCTCCGTAAGTCCTTTACTCAAAAAGGGCAGAAAGCAGAAGACTACACATCAAATAGCTTACCATCTGACATAGGGAAACTGATAGAAGATATTATTAAAGATGTTATAACAGGGCGTTTGGATAAATTCAAGGTAATCAGATAGAGGCAACGTAGTTTTCTCAAAAGGAAATCACTTTTAACTAATTTATTAGAGTTCTTAGAGGAAGTGGTAGAAACAAGTACAGTTACAACATTTAAAAGACATTTGGACAGGTACATGGATAGCAAAGGTGTACAAAGATACAGGCCAAACACAGGCAAGTGGGACTAGCTTTGTTTAGGAAACTTGGTCAGCATGGATGAGTTGGACTGAACGGTCTGCTTCCAAGCTGTATGGCTTGAATGACTATAGCACTGAGGATCAGCCATAATCATACTGAATGGCAAAGATGACTCAAAGGGCCAAAAACCTACTCCTATTCCTAGTTTATACATTTCTCTGACTCCTTCAATTATAGATCAAAGTTTTGACATTCATGCTTTTAACGGCCACTCAATGCTGATCATACTATACAAAGTTCTTAAAAAATAATTTCTGAATTCTAAAATGTGAAAATATACAGTAAAATAAAGTTGCCTTAAACCAGGATCAATAGAATTCTGTAACTTCATTGACTTGTTGAAGCTAAAAAAAATTGTGGATCAAGTATAATTTAGATGCAGATCAAGAACAAATAGCAGGGTTGACAAATAGCACTGCAATTCTCTAATAGTTTTAAATTTCAACAACCTGAACCACGTCCAAATTCCCTGCAAGCTCTGGGCAGAGATTAGTCAGAACCCGAATTCTCTGACAACACCTGAATTTATCAGCCAACTCCAACATAAATCCACTGCATTTCACAGACTGGAGTTGAACTGGACACCAAATCAGGAAAAGATGGACTAAGCAAAGCAGGAAAAGTTTACCTGTAAATCAGAAAAACTGATAAAGTATGAAATGCGATCGAGAAAGGGCAACAGCTCTAAAGCTAATGGTAGAATGGTAGATACAAACAGAAGGCTAGAATTCAGGATATTAAAAATGACAGCGGCAGGGGTAGGGTAGAAAAGGCTATGTTTGTAAGAAAAAAAAATTAACATGTTAAATTTCTGTATGGGAAGCCAGAGAAGACCAGTGAGATGAGCAGGTGCGATTTAATGCGACAGGAAAGAGCAAAGTTTTAAACAAGTTAAGGATCACAGTCAGAGGTGACTGGACGCCAGCAAAGAAGATACTGAAATAAGAAAGTCTAAAAGCGGCACAGTGGCTCAGTGGTTAGCACTGCTGCCTCACGATGCCAGGGACCCGAGTGTGATTCAACCCTCAGGCGAATATCTATGTGGAGCTTCCCAGTGTCTGCATGGGTTTCCACCAGGTGCTCCCATTTCCTCCCCCAGTCCAAAGATGTGCATGTTAGGCGAGTTGGCCATGCTAAATTGTCCGTAGTGTTCAGGGATGTGTAGATTAGGTGGGTTAGCCATGAGAAGTGTAGGGTTACACTGTAGGATGCAATGGATTCTGTTGTTACGGCCTTCCACAGTAGTAGTATTACAATAGGAATCAAAACTGGTAACACTGCAGTAGTGAAAGTCAACAATTTCGCTGACAGAAAGGATGGAAGATTTGCCATTCAGTTGTGGATTAAAAAGGGTGTCAATGTTCTGCCCAGTTTGTTCAGCCCAAGAGAGCAGCCCAGAAGCAGGTCAGTGGCAAGGAAGTGGAGATTAGTGTTGGTGCAGCCTTGATAGGCTAAAGGGCCTGTTCCTGTCTTCCTGATGTTGAATAGGTGATTCAGCAGTCTGATGACATGAGGATAATCAGCTGATTGAGGGGCTGTAGTAGAAGAGATAAATTTGAGGGTCACGATCAAACATGGAAGCTAATCCAAAGCCTATGAATGACATTGCAGAGGAGCAGCATATAATTGAAGAAGGGATGGCTATCCAGGATGAATTTCTTTGCAGATTCCTATGAGGATGCAGGAACAATGGGAGGAATCAATGCTGTAAGTGCACGGACTATGTTCAGGAAATCGTACTCAAATCAGAATGTTTAGGAACATTGAGGTAATTTATATAGTGAACAAGAACCACCGTAGGTTGTGGGCAGAAGCAAGTACAATAGCAACGTTTAAAAAAGCATCTTCACAGATGCTTGAAAAGGTAGGCAATAGAGGGATACAGAATAAGGGGAGGCAACGGCCTAGTGGTATTATTGCTGGACTGTTAATCCAGAGACCCAGCTAATATTCTGGGGTCCTGAGTTCAAATCCAACCATGGAAGATGGTGGAATTTGAATTCAATAAAAATCTGGAATTGAGAGACTAATTATGACTATGAAACCATTATCAACTGTCAGAAAAATCGATCTGGTTCACTAATGTCCTTTAGCGAAGGGAACTGCGATCCTTACCTGGTCTGGCTTACATGTGTATCCAGACCCACAGCAATGTAGCTGACTCTTAACTACTTCTGGGCAATTAGGAATGGGCAATAAATGCTGGCCTAGTCAGTGACACCCTCATTCCATGAATGAATAAAAGAAAAAGCTTTTTAGTTTAGAAAAGGCATCATGTGTCCGCACTAGCTTGGTGAGCCAAACGGCCCACTCCCGTGCTGTATTAAATCAATTCTAAGGGGACTTGATAATATATTTTACTGTAACAATGAGAAAAGTCTTCATTGGATTACACTTAGAGTCACAGAGATACAGCACAGAAACAGGCCCTTGGGTCCAACCAATCCATGTCAAATATAATCTCAAACTGAACTAGTCCCACCTGCCTGCTCCTGGCCCAAATCCCTCCAAACCTTTTGTATTCATGTACTTATCTAAGAGTCTTTTAAACGTTGTAAATGTGCCCACATCCACCACTTTCTCAGGAAGTTCACTTCACACACAATTCACCCTCTGTGTAAAAAAATTTGCCCCTCTGTTTTTTAAACCTCTCTCCTCTCATCTTAAAAATATGCTCCCTAGTCTTGAAATCCTCAATCCTAGGGAAAAGACAACTACCATTAACACTATGTATATACCCCCCTCACGATTTTATAAACCTCCATAAAAGTCACTTCCCAACCTCCTACACTCCGGTGAAAGAAGTCTCGGCCTATCCAGCCTCTCCTTATAACTCAAACCTTCCACACTTGGCAACATCCTGGTAAATCTCTTCTGAACCCTCTATAGCTTACTAATATCTTCCTATAACAAGACCACCAGAACTGGACACAGTACTTCAGAAAAGGTCTCACGAATGTCCCTTACAATCTCAACATGACTTCTTAACTCCTATACTCAAAAGTACTGAGCAATGAAGGCAAGTGTACCAAATGCATATTTAACCAGCCTGTCTATGTGTGACACAAACTTCAAAGAATTATGTACCTGAACCCATAGCTCACTCTGTTCTACAACACTACCGAAGGTCCCACCCATAACTGTATAAATCCTGCCTGTTTGTTGTACCAAAATGAAATGCCTCGCATTTATCCAAATTAAACTTCATCTGCCATTTGTCAGCCCATTTGCCCATTTCTGTGGAACACCTTGGTTCTATTTTGTGTATTAAAGATGACATAAATTTGTTGCTTTAAATGCTTAAAGCAGTCGTTATGAAATTGGATACAATACCAAATTACCTAGACTGGGAAGGTCTAGGAGGATTTAGTACTGACAAACCTTGAATGGTCTTTTTGCACTCTTGTGTTTTTTTTTACCTTAATGGAAATTTCCTTCACCAAATGTCTGTTATTTGGGTCTTCATAAGGAAGATTGTTCACGTCTGTCCCATCTATGACCAGCTTTCCCAGCAATGTGCCTTTTTCTCGAATCTTCTTTGTTAGGCTTCTGGTATCCACACCTAATCGGTTTTAAGAGTATAATATTACTTCACAAAACATCTTAAGGAGACTGTGTGTTGGCTAGAAGGCATTTGTAATTGATTCTAAGAAAGTAATGCCAAAGTCAATACTTTCAATTAATGAATATGTATTTTGAATGAGTATTTTATTTATTTTTTAAAAAGTTCTACAAAAATAAAAATCAGCTAATAAATGCAACAACCAGTTTGTCAAATAAATTATTTTGTTATTTCAATCTTCTGAAATAAATATAGATGTAGGTAGCTTGTCAGTGTAATGAAACGAAGATTCATGTTCCAATTACTTTTCCCTACCCTCAGCATAAAATTCACTTGTATAGCTCGGTCACTCAAACACAAAATGTTAACATTGAGCTGTATTTAAGACAGAACAACAGATCAACTTGGCCTTAGCAACGTTATGAGAAGAAAATGAGTTGCAGACAATGTAGAATTATTTAGCCACTAAAAGCCCTGCCTATATTCTCTTTTAAAACAAGCAACTTATCTGAAGGCTCAGGAGATAAAGACTGTACAAGGTTGAACAGAAATAGGGCAAGTCGAAGATTTAATTTGATTATAGAAACAGTATAGGAGCATGAAACAAAGTACCACCTTACGTAATAGGTAATAAGTGTTGGAAGCCAGCTGATTTAGAAACACGACTGCTCGAGTTCAACGATTGAGAACTGGACAGCAGACAATGTTAATCAAGTAATAAATTTGTCAAAGCTACATCAGCAATGGTTACCAGAACAAAAAAGGTCTCTGATTTGATCTGTAAACATCAATTTTATCGGATGTAGCCATGCAAAATGTGAATGAATCAACATACAACAATCTACTTTAGGGTTTTTCTGGTGCACTGATGGTAATCCTAACTCCAGGTCAGAAGGTCTGGATTCAAGTCTCACCTGCCACACAGTTGTCAACTCTCAACAGATTGATTAAAAAGACGAAAAACTACTTAGCTACAAAAGACTCACTGGTAATTTGCTACTGACCTCAAAAGTTAATCTGACTGTTTCATAAAAGTTGTGAAGAATTGTTGGATGTATCAATATGCATTAAAAAAGTGCAAAGCAGGTCACAATATTCCATGTTGTACCTGTATTGGAGGCATGTAGTGCAGCGAATAAAATCTGCAATCCAACTGGAGCAATGTGTAAATTCCTGCTGACCAGAATTTTTATATTTGAAATACAAACATACAGAACAAAGGTCCTTCAGGCAAAGATTACTGCCATTCTTACACAACAGGCGTAATGTGACTCCAGACTCTCACCAATGTGTTGCTTCTTTACTGTTATCTGACATGGCCAAACAAGCTAGCATGCCTCTATGAAGTCTAAACAAAGGAATGAAATTATACAGATCATTCAACATCAATCTAGGCACCACAAAAAGACGAGGAAAATAGATCTGTCAAACTCAAAATCCTCCTTACCAAAATCGGGAGTGGTTTTTGCACAATTGAATAAAGCAACAACCTTACAGCATATTCACAGAATTACAGCTTACAAACAATATCACAGAAACCATCATCATCATCCCCAATTCTGTTCTGTCCCACCTGCAGACCAGACATACCAAAGGTGATGACACAGTAGGATTCAATCAGACAAGAATTGCTTACAGACTCTATGAAATTGCGTAGCATCAGGTCAAATGTGGACAAGGAAACCTCCTGATTACCACCTACTGTATCACCCCCAGTCCCTGATCACAAATGTGGCTGGCCATGTCAGTACTGATTGGAGTGACCACCACAGAGCCATTGTGGAGACAAAGTCCCATCTTAACATGATAGAGAGTATCGTCAATGTCATGTGGCACTACTATTGTGCTAAGTGGTTCAGGACAGATGTAGAACAGATCTAGTAACTCAAAACTAGGCATCCATGAACCTCTGTTGTCCATCAGCAGTAGCACAATTCTATTTCATCACAGTATGGACCCTATAGCCTGGCATAACTTCTACCTTATAAAAATACCAGCAACGTGGAAAATCAACCCTGGTTAAATAAAAATGAAGGAGGGCATGCTAGGAACAGCATCAGGCATACCCAAAAATGAAGTGTTAAACTGGTAAAGTCTGACCTGCCAGTGGGGTAGGACAGACTTAGGGACAGTGATGATGGTTTCTACAATACCGCAAACACAGCATGCCAACAGCAGAAGTAGTCTGTAAAAGATAGGGCTAAGCAATCCCACAACCAACAGATCAGATCTAAGTTCTACAGTCCTGCCACGTCCAGTGGTAGACAAGTAAACCATTAACAGGAGGAGGAGGCTTCATTAATATCCCCATCCTCAATGTTGGGGGAACACAATACTTCAGTGCAACAAACAATGCTGAAACATCTGTAAGCATCTTCAGACCAAAGTCTGAGTCATTGACCCAACTTTGCTGCTTCCCAAGGTTCCCAGGTTTACAGATATTAGTCTTCAGCCAATTTAATTCACTTTATATGATATCAAGAAATGGCTGAGGACACTGGACATTACAGCAGCAAGAGCCCTGAAAACGTTCCAGCAATAATACTGAAGACTTGAGCTCCAAAATATGCTGCATTCCGAGCTAAACTATTCCAGTGCAATGACAACACTGGCATCTATCCCATAATTAGGGAAATTGAGGAAAATTGTCCCTATATGTCCTAAACACAAAAGGAAAGGACAAATCCAACTCAGCCAATCACCACCCTAATCAGTCTACGCGCAAACATCAGCCAACTGTACTTAACAGTGCTATCAACCAGCATTTGCAAAGCGATAACCCACTCTGACATTCAGTTTGAATTCTGCCAAGGTCACTCTACTCCTGACTTCATTATAGCTTTGCTTGGACAGAAGAGCTGAACTCCGGAGGAATTTTGAAAACCAACTGCCCTCAACATCAAGATATCATTTGACAGGGCTTTGCATCAAGGAGCACTAGCAAAACAAAATGGGATCAATCATCTCAGCTCCAGGACAGGAGTTCCCTAAGGTTGTATTCTAGGCCCAACCGCCTTCAGCTGCTTCACCAATAACCTTCTCTCCATCGTAAGACTGGATGTGGGGGATGTTTGCCAATAATTACAACATCCCTGAGATTACCACTGACAAGAAAATGAACTGGGCAATCTAGAAAACATTGTGGCTACAGGCAGGTCAGAGGCTAGGAATACGCCACAAACATATACTCTCTTCACTATCGACACACAGTAGCAGCAGTGTGTACCATCTCCCATCAGAAATGCACCAAAGCTCCTTAGACGGATCCTTCTAACCTATGATCATTTCCAACTAATAGAACAAAGGCAGCAGATACATGGGAACACCACAGTCACCAAAAGTTCCCCTTAAAGCCACTCAGCACCCTAACTTGGAAATAAAATCAGTTTCTTCATAGCACCTGTGTCAAAAGCTTGGAACTTCCCTCATACTTAGACCATGGCGTCCTTACACCTCAACCAGTGCAGCTGTTCAAACATTCTCCACGGCAATTAGGCCAATAAAATCCACGTCTTAACATACAGACAAAAGAAAATGAAATGAATACCTAAGCCCTAATGTTAAGTAGTTTTTCATCCTATTATCCAATTTTCTAACTAGCTATCAGTATTAGATCCACATCTTGCATATCTGTGCAATGTTGTTTTTGTGGTCAACCCCCAACAAAATTCCCTTGCCTGACTCACTATGGAAGCATTACATCATTGGCTTCATTTCTTGAATTCATGCCTCAGCTTTGGTTTGGCCCCGCTGGCTTCCAGTCATGGCCAAATTGCTTACCGCAGCTACCTCTGTCTGTAACTCGAGTCAGGCTCGCCAAGAGCCATGGTTGGTACAAGGTATCTATTTAAAACATTCTTAATTCTTTCATATGACATTGCTCCCAATATCTTTCTGCTCTCCCATCTTTCAGATTGGCTTATGCTGACAACCTCTTTTTGTATTGAGGTAGTTTGGCTCCCTTATGAGAGCTTTCCACTTTTGGCCTGCTCTGTCCATGAAAGCAGGTTTCTCTGTCCAGTTTAATCCACCTTTTCTAATTCACCCACCCATTGAAACAGTTCATTACTGCCATGTATCTTCTCTACTCATATCCACCTCGCCCTTCCTGACTCAAGTACACCATATTATTTTCTTAACCTGTGACCAAAGCCAGAAAAGTTGACCAAAATGATCTTAAAATTTACAAATTCCAAGATGGATAACTTCTTACCCTCTAATGCCGGAATTCCTTGTTCTTTCAACCACTGGTCTAATGAGCGAATTGAGCTCCAGTGACTTGGATGCTGTGAATTTTCACCAATCACTAATGCTGCAGCGTGAATTTTGGAAGATTCAAACCACTAAAATAGTATAAAGTATGAAAATTAAACTAGAATGGCTCGCCAGTGGCGGATAAAATGTAAAGAGAAATCTAAATCTTCCAAGAAACGAGTTCTAGCACAAAATACAGTAAGTGCTGAAAATCTAATAGAAAATGCTGAAAGAATACCCAACAGGGCCAGCATCTGTGGAGATAAACAATATTAATGTTTCACCAATAACCTTTCATCAGAACAATCTAGTATCCATTTAGAAAAAACAAAATGCTATACAATATAATATATATTTTGTACAAATGCTACCATTTGAGTCTTAAATATTGGTATCTTTGAAATAACTGCGGCACGGTATTTCCTAATTAAGCAGATTTGTAATTTTGTATAAGTAGCATGATATATATCAGGGTAACATATGGACAAGTTATGGTCATTTGTAGCTGCTGTTATTATAGAAGCAGGTCATGGTTATTAATTACAGGATACTCAGGTAAATTGCTTACCACAGGTGCTCGTTGCAGCCCCCACCCCATCTCTGAAGTTTAGTAATTATTGAAATGTTGCCATTCTGGAAATTTTGTTAAAGATTTTACGATTGGTGAGTCTTCTCTGGTTTAAGCTACTCATTGAAACAAATATTATTCATTATCATCTAATATTCACTTTCTATTATGGGTAAAATTTATAGCTAACTTAATTTGTATGTTATTTGGAATTTTAGCTTGTGATTCTGGATTCTAATGAAATTCAGCGAGGATTTTGTTTTTTAATTTGTGAGGTAGATGTTTTATGGTTAGTCTTGCAACAGGTTTGAATTTGCATAAAGTGTGAAACAGTCCAATCTTTTCTGCTGATAATGTTTTGCTGAAATAATTATCTTCCCTCTGGAATAACTTCATGGAGGCTGGTACCCCACCACCAAGTCACCCTTGATTTACACGTGTGTAGTACTTGACACTGTTTCGGCTTCCTCAGAGCTGGCTCTCAGCATGGACAAAACCTCTGACACTCCTGTGTATATTTGTCAACCAGGGCTCCCTGACTGGACCAGGTTAACAGCCGAATCAGGGAACTTGTATTCTACAAAGTTCACCTGGCTGACCTCTGCAAACCACCATACCCTGTAAGCTTATAGTATGATGCTTCAGTTAATGGGAAGGAAGCGAGTGAATTTAAAGCAGCAACGCCCTCGCAGAATGGATGACATAATAGTTTAATTAAGAAGCTATTGTGCTGTTTGTCTTCTTTGAGAGCTTGGTTTTCTTTTTCATTATATCTTTGGTCTGTGATCACTGTTTTGTGCTCACAGGTGATCTCAACGAGAGAGTAGAGAAAATAATTTGTTCAGCCCAGATAATAAGTCAAAGACTCGTAGCATTGCTGTGCAAACGGAGAACCACGTTTCCAGCTTCCTTCAGGGATCTCTCTCAACAATGGATGGATTAAAATTAGTCAAGTTAATGTGAAGCTCTCCAGTAGCCACTGCACATTGCTAAAAATAATTAGGTTGATGTGACAATAGTTTGCCTCTGCTCCACAAAAGTAGACTAAAATGTAGAAAATGCTTCAACCTGGTTGGTCCCATTGTTATAGGATGGTCATTGTATGTTTCCGCATTAAAGTGATCATTATATGTGCACAGTACTTGACACTGTTTCGGCTTCCTCAGAGCTGGCTCTCAGCATGAACAAACCTCTGACACTCCTGTGTATATCTATCAACCAGGGACATTGTGGCAAGCTAGGAAAGAAATTGCAGTGTCCGTAGCAGAGATATTTGCATGATCAACACAGAGGAGGTCCAAAAGGAAAGCCAATGTTGTTCCTTTGTTTAAGAAGTGTGGCAAGGATAATCCAGATAATTACAGGCCGGTGAACCTTGCGTCTGAGGTAGGAAAATTATTGGAGAGGATTCTTCGAGATGTGATTTACTCCCACTTGGAAATAAGTGGGCATATTAGCGAGAGGCAACATAGTTTTGTTAAGGGGAGGTCATGTCTCACTAACTTGGTTGAGTTTTTTGAGGAAGTGACAAAGATGATCGATGAGGGTAGGGCAGTGGATGTTGTCTACACAGACTTCAGCAAGGCCTTTGACAGGTTGGCAGGCTGATACAGAAGGTAAAGTCGTATGGGGTCAGAGGTGAGCTTGCAAGATGTATAAAAAACTGGCTCGGTCATTGAAGACAGAGGGTATCAGTGGAACGGTGTGTTTCTGAATGGAGGGCTGTGACTAGTGGCATTCCTCAAGGATCAGTTTTGGTATGTTTGCTACTTATAAATGATTTGGAGGAGAATGTAACTGGTCTGATTAGTAAGTTTGAGGATGACACAAAGGTTGGTGGGATTGCAGATAGCGATGAGGACCGTCAAAGGGTACAGCAGGATATAGATCGGTTGGTGACTTGGGCAAAGAGATTGCAGATGGAGTTTAATCTGGAAAAATGTGAGGTAATGCATGTTGGAAGGTCTAATCCAGATGAAAAATATACAGTAAATGGCAGAACCCTTAAGAGTACTGATAGGCAGAGGGATCTGGGTGTACAGGTACACGTCACTGAAAGTGGCAACACGGGTGGAGAAGGTAGTTAACAAGGCATACTACATGCTTGCCTTCATTGGCTAGGGCATTGAGTTTAAAAATTGGCAGGTAATGTTGCAGCTTTATAGAGCCTTACTTAGGCTGCGTTTGGAATACTGTGTTCAATTCTGGTCACCACACTACCAAAAGGATGTGGTGGCTTTGGAGAGGGTACAGAAAAGATTTTCCTGGATGTTGCCTTGTATGGAGGGCATTAGTTACAAGGAGAGGTTGGGAAAAACTTGGGTTGTTCTCACTGGAACGACGGAGGTTGAGGGGTGACCTGATAGAGGTCTGCAAGATTATGAAGGGCATGGACAGAGTGGACAGTCAGAAGCTTTTTCCCAGGATGGAAGAGTCAGTTACTAGGGGGCATAGGTTTAAGGTGCGAGGGGCAAGGTTTAAAGGTGATGTATGAGGCAAGTTTTTTTTCCACAGAGGGTGATCGGTCCCTGGAACTCGCTGCCAGGGGAGGTAGTGGAAGCAGATACAATAATGACTTTTAAAGGGCGTCTTGATAAATACATTACTAGAATGGGAATAGAGGGATACAGTCCCCAGAAGGGTAGGGGGTTTTAGTTGCGACGGGCAACATGTCGGTGTAGACTTGGAGGGCTGAAGGGCCTGTTCCTGCGCTTTAATTTTCTTGGTTCAATAGCTGCAGGTGAGTTGCTGAAAGACTAGAGGGTGGTTAATGTTGCGCCATTATTTCAGAAAGGTTGCAAGGAAAAGCCAGGGAACTACAGACCAGTGAGCTTAAAAGAAGCGTGGGTAAGCTGTTGGAGGGGATTCTGAGAGGCAGAAATGTACATGCATTTGGAAAGGCAAGGACTGATTACTTATAGTCAGCATGGCTTTGTGCATGGGAAATCTTATTTCATAAATATGATTAAGTTTTTTTGAAGAGTTGACCAAGAAGATAGATGAAAACAGAGCAGATTTGGAGGAGAATATAGAAAGCATGGTTAGCAAGTTTACGGATGACACCAAAATTGGTGGTTACAGTGGACAGTGAAGAAGGTTATCTAAGAGTGCAACAGCATGTTGATCAACTGGGTCAATGGACCAAGGAATGGCAGATGGAGTTTAAAGCAGTTAAATGCAAAGTGTTGCATTTTGGTAAGATAAACTAGGACAGGACTTACACAATTAATGGTAGGATCCCAGGGAGCAAGTTGAACAGAGATAGAGGGGTGCGGGAACATAGTTCCTTGAAAGTGGTGTCACAGGTACACAGGGTGGTGAAGGCGGTGTTTGGAATACTTGTCTTCATCAGTCAGAGCATTGAGTATAGGAGTTGGGGCATCATGTTTCAACTGGACCAGATATTGGCATGGCCAGATACACCTTAGAGCACAATTCTGGTCTCCATACTATAGGAAGCCTGTTGTTATACTAGAAAGGGTGCAAAAAAAATTTACAAAGAGGTTACTGATACTAGAGGGTTTGAGTTATAAGGAGAGGCTAGAGTTTTTTTTTGCTGGAGGGTGACCTTGTAGAGGTTTATAAAATCATGAGAGGCATAGATAAGAAGAACAGCCAAGGTCTTTTCCCCCAGGGTAGGGGAGTACAAACCTAGAGGCCATAGGTTTAAGATGAGAGGAAAAAGATTTAAAAGGGACCTGAGGGGCAACTATTTCCACACACAGGGTGGTGCATATATGGAATGGGCTGGCAGAGGACATGGTAGAAGCGGGTACAAACATTTAAGAGAAACTTGGACAAGTAGATGGATATGAAAGGTTTAAAGGGATATGGGCCAAACACAGGCAAATGCGACTAGTTCAGTTTAGGATATCTGGTCGAGTTGAGCCAAAGGGCCTGTTGCAACACTGCATGCTCTATGACTCTAACCTTTATTCATTTAATGCAAACAGCTCCAATGCAGAGAAATTTCCTTCTGTTCAAGACTATCATTAGAACATTAACAGCAAGCTTTTCTTTAACCAATCAATGAGAATTAAAAGGGATTGTCTTATTTTTTTTCTACTGACATCAATAAAATGGTGGGCTGAGAGTAGCATGGAACTTGCAGCTGCTCCTGAGATGCATGCTTATTTCTAGATTTTTTAGGGTTATTACATTTCAGTAGTACAAGATTTTCTCGATTCATTTTTGGTTCTTTTAGTCAACAATGCGAAAAACCCCTGAAAACAAGTGTGATTTTATTTCAAACGGAGTACTGTTAACAGACCTTTTAGAGAGGCCTACACAGACAGCTTTTTTAACTCTAAAATTATATGCATAGAAGACAGTTGTTTTTGAACATTGCTAAGTAATTTTATTTTAAAAATCACACAGGAGAGTTTTTTTTAAATTATAGAGAATTTTTTTAAATCATGGAGGAAAGGGTATTTTTTAAAGCAGTGTTGTGTTTATGAAGCCTTTGGAGAGGCCTACACATGCACGGCTCTAGAGTGAGTTTTTTTTAAATATCAGAAGTTTTAAAGCTGTCTTCTGGACCACTTAAGCAGGAATCTTTTTTTTTTTTTCTAAATTCAATTGTTCAGCTAAGTAGTTGATTTTATTTACGATTTACATGTTTGATCTTTTTTATTTCTTATTTTTTGTCCGCTTGATATTAACTCTTTGGGTAAGGGAAAATAATTTACTTTATATGTAAGGTGCTATTGTAAGCTATTCCTTTTTAGGCTTAATGTCATTGCAGGCACGCAAAAGACAGTTAGATGGCTAGGAGATTGAGAGAAATGATTACACAGCAGGATCAGTCAGATAGATGGGTGACTGAGGAAATGTAAGAAAGTAGTTCAGAAGTCTCCTGTAGCTATTTCTCTCCAAACCAGACACTCAGCTTTGGGTACTGTGGAAAAGGATAGTCTGTCAGAGGAAAATAGAACAGACAGTTAGAACCTGGGCACTAACAATGTATCTTATGTTAAAAAAAACTTAAAAGAATAACTGTTACAGGAGACTGCTGTCAAGGTCATAGACAGGAGCTTCTGCAGCAGTCAGCGGGAATCTAGATAATATGTTGCTTTCCTAGCGCCAGGAGTAAGAAGTCTCAAAACATTTAAAGCATATTGTTAAAGGGGACAGTGAGAAACTGGAAGTTATTGTATATATTTGTACAGGCTTTGCAGAATGAATGTTAAGAAGTTAGGTAGAAGATTAAAAAACCTCAAAAGTAGAAATCCCTGGTTTACTCCCGGCGCCAAGCTTGAATGAAGGAAAGAAAATAAGGACAAAGGAGATAAATCAACGACTGAAGAGGTGGTCTAATGTTCAGGGAGTCAGGTTCTTGGATCACTGGGATCTCTTCTGGGTCAGAAAAGACCTGTCCAAAAAGGATGGGTTTTACCTGTGCTGGAAAGGGACCAACATCCTAGCAGGAAGATTTGCTAATTCTATTAAGGAAGACTATAAACTATTAAGGGGTGGTGGTTGTGGTGGTGGTGGAGGGAGCCTTAGTAGCAGAGTAAATATAAAGACAGACGATGATGGTATTGAATCTGAAAAGAACAAATTAATCAGAAAAGACAGACAACAGCAAATCAGAGAACCAACTGAAGAATTAAATCACATTTATTTCAATGCAAGGGGTCTTACAGGTAAAGCTGATGATCTCAAGGCATATTTAGGAACAGGGGATTGGAACATCATAGCTACTTCAGAAACTTGGCTGAGGGATGCACAGGACTTGTAGCTCAGTGTTCCGGTTTCAGATGCCATTGGAAGGATAGAAAGGCAAAAAAGGAGTGGGAGTGGTGTTTTTGATTAAGGAAAACATTACTGTTATAACTAGAGAAGATATTTCTGAATAATCATCCTGTGAACACATATGGATTGAAATTAGAAATAAAAAAGGAATGATCACCTTAATGAGATCATATAGACGTCCAATAGTCAGAGGGAAATTGAGGAACAAATCTGTCTAGAGATCTCAAATATATGTAAAAATAATAAGGTTGTAATAGTAGGTGATTTTAAATTTTCCAAACGTTGACTGAAACTACTATAGTGTTAAACATCTGCATGGTGAAGAATTTGTTAAATGTGTTCAAGAAAATTCTCTTTGTCAACATGGAAAATTCCTACTAGAGTAGGAGCAAAACTTGACCTTCTCTTGGGTAATAAGACAGAACAAGTGACTGAAGTGATAGTCCATGAACATTTGGGTCTAGTGATCATAATTCTATTCACTAAAAATTGTTATGGAAAAGGATTAGCCTTCCAAAAAGATTGAAGTTTTTAATTTGTGTAAGGCAAATTTTAATGGTATGAGACAAGAACGTTCAAAAGTTGATTGGTTGGAGACTGCTCGCAGATAAAGGAACACCTGATAAATGGGAGGCTTTCAAAAATATGATAATGAGCGTTCAGAGGCATTATTTTCCTGTTAGAGTGAAAGGTGAGGCTGGTAGGATTAGAGAACAATGGATGAATGCAGATATTGCAGTCCGAGTCAAGAATAAATAAAAATCATATGTTAGATATAGACAATTGGGTTCAAATGAACCTCTTGAACTGTTTAAAGAGTGTCGGGGCATTTTTAAAAGGATATCAGGAAAGCAAAGAGAGGATGAACTATCCTTGGCAAATAGGGTCAAGGACAATCCAGAGATTCTACAAGTACATTATGATGAAGAGAACAACTAGAGAGGGAGTAGGGCCCTTTAAAGATTGAAAAGGTCATCTCTGTGTTGAGTCTCAAGAGATGGGAGAGATATCAAATGAATATTTCATGTCAGTTTTTACTATGGAGAAAGAAATGAGGCTAGAGAACTCAGGGAAATAAATACTGATGTTTTAAAAACAGTTTACATTATAGAAGAGGAAGTCCTGGAGGTCTTACAAAATATAAAAAGGTGGATAAATCTCTGGAACCTAACCTATAGCATCCCAGGATGTTATGGGAAGTTAGGGAGGAAATTGCAATGCCCCTTGCACAAATATTTCAAATATTTGTATTATCTAGAAATATGGGTGAGGCACCAGACAACTGGGAAAGTGGCTAATGTTGTGCCTTTGTTTAAGAAGGAATGCAAGAGAAGCCTGGGAACCACAGACCTGTGAGTCTGACTTTGGTGGTGACCAGATTGTTGTAAGTGATTCTGAAAGATAGGAGTCAGATGCATTTAGAGAGGCAAGGAATGATTAGAGATAATCAGCATGGTTTTGTGCAAGGGAAATCGTATCTCACAAACCTGAATGAGTTTTTTGAACAAGTAACCAAGAAGATTGATAAGGGCAGAGCTGTAGGTATTGTTTACTTGGACTTTAGTAAAGCCTTTGACAAGGTTCTGCATGGTAGACTGATTAGCAATTTAGACCACATGGGATCCCGGGTGAGCTTGCCAACTCCATACAAAACTTGCTTAACAGCAAGAGACCAAGTGATAGTGGAGGATTGTTTTTCAGACTTGAGACCTGTGATCAGCGGTGTCTTATATACAAATGATTTAGATGAGAATATAGAACTCATGATTATTAAGTTTGCAGATGATACCAAATTTGGTGGTATAGTAGACAGTGAGGAAGGTTATCTAAGATTACAAAACGAGATCTTGATCAATTGGGTCAATGGGCTGAACAGTGGCAGATGGAGTTCAATTTGGATAAATGCAAGGTATTGCATTTTGGTAAAACAAATAAAGGCAGGACTTATACAATTAAAAGCAGGACCTTGGTAGTGTTGTAGAACAGAGAGACCTGGGGTTCAGGCACCTAATTCTTTGAAGGTTGCATCACATATCGATAGGGTGGTTAAAAGGGTGTTTAGCACACCTGCCTTCATTGCTCAAACCTTTGAATATAGGAGTTGAGATGTTGGCGAAGCCTCTTTTGGAGTACTGTGTCCAGTTCTGGTCGCCTGTTATAGGAAGGATATTATTAAGCTAGAGAGGGTTCAGAGAAGATTTACCAAGATGTTGCTGGGAATGGAGAGTTTGAGTTACAAAGAAGGGCTGGGTAGGCTGGGACTTTTTTTTAAACTGGAGTGTAGAAGGTAGAGGGGTGACTTTATAGACGTTTATAAAATCATGAGAGGTATAAATAAGGTCAACAGCAAGTGTCTTTTCCCTAGGATGGGGGATTTCAAGACTAGGGGGCACAGTTTTTTTAAAAAAAGACACGGGACAATTTTGTTTCTTAAAAGCACAGAGTAGTTCATGTGTGGAATGAACTTCCAGAGGAAGTGGTGGATGAGGGTATAGTTATAACGTTTAAAAGGTATTTAGCTAAGTATATGAATAAGAAATGTTTGGAGGGATATGGGCCAGGAGCAGGTAGGGGGGACTGGTTTAGTTTGGGATTATGGTTGGCATGGACTGGTTGGACCCAAGAGTCTATTTCCGTGATGTGTGATTCTATGATTCTATAACTACCACTTATCTGTGTATTGGTAATAATGAAGACCTTTAAAATACACTTTCAACTTATGATGATAGCTGCATGCAAGATTTACAGGGAAATAATACAGTATCAAATTTTAAATTCACCATCAATTTTAGCCAAACATCTTGACCCACTCTCCCCCCAAAAATAAATCCTGAGGTGTCACAATACCCTGGAGGTCCAGACCCCACAGCTTGAGGAGGCATTCCCTTTAATTTTTAGGAGCTTGAAAGGTGATCATATTTAAACATATGCACTTGTTAAGGAGAAGGCAGGTACTAGGACGAAGCTTTCTCTGGCTGGATAGTCTTACACTGGAGGGGACCATCAGAGCCTCAGACTAAGAAGCTGACCAGTTAGTTCAGAGAAAAGGAAAAATTCATTCAAAGTGTTCCGAATTTTTGGAATTCTGTACCCAAGAGATAGTCAAATTGAGACAGAAATAGTTAAGTTTTGGATGCAAAGGATTTGGGAATTGAGTGGGAAATTGGCATTGATGTAGAAGCTCAAGCATAATCTTACCAATTTGTGAAGTAGGATCAAAAGGGTCAAATGGCCTACTTCTGTTACTCTTTTATTTTATGTTTCTGTTTTTTCTAAATGAGGAGAAAGAATATATCTCAAGCACACATTTATTATTAACAATAAACACTGTTTCCTACATTATAAACATTACTTTTACCTACATTACAACTGAAGTGGCTAAAAATACTTAATTGGGTACTTTGCGACATTCAAGATGAGGGTTTTTATTTTCTTTGAAAGTACAATTATTTGATTTCAGACAAAGCAGACAATTTAATGCGAGACAAATGCTATTTATAACTAAATAATTTACTGAGAATTGACCCAGAATAAACCTGATTACATATATTTAAAGGAGACTGCACAATTTTATATTTGTTGTCGGCGAGCTCAAGCATTATTAGCATATACAATAACTTATTAGATGCTATTTACCTTGCTGAGTCCATGTTCATCCTCTTCATCCTTTGGTACGCCATAGTTGCCGATTAATGGATAGGTAAGGACAAGTATTTGGCAATAATATGACGGATCAGTCAAGGCCTCTGGGTAACCAACCATTCCAGTCTGGAAAACTGAAAGGAATATTCATTGCAGAAGCCGCATATATTGACAACTGTATATCCACGAACAACAAAACGCAATAGCTTTTCTTCAGGCATTATAATTTAAAGAAAACTTTGCCTTCAAGTAAACTACTGCTTTCAGGCTTTGCTCCAATTCTTCCTTTAATTTGTACAGTTACCCTTCAAGTTCTAACCAAATTGATCGGTGAAAATTTCCTAGGGCAACTTGAGTTTTCACTTCTTGCAAGTAAAAAAGGGTTAAACGTATCATCTGTACCGAATAAAGTAACAAAGATGAAAATATACCAGCTGAGGTACAACCATCTCCCTTCCTAACAGTTTGGCGATACAATAAAACATCACCTCTAATTGCCATGTGTCAAATATCAACACTTCTTATTCTTTTTGATCTTGCAAACTTTATTTAATGAAGAATCATCTAAATCACTTCAAATGAAACTTAAGTATGTTGCTTTTGTAAAAACATCTAAAATGACCCTCTACCTCCATTTATTCACCATTTTTAGATTTAGACAATTATCCAGTTACTATAACCTCTAAACTAAGCAAGTCCCCAGTGCTGTTCACACTGAAGTTTCAAATCTGCAAAGGTAGAAGAACTTTGGTTGTCCCTTATCTACATTGCATGTATGGTAACAAAATTTAGACCCTTTTAAAACAATTTTAGCACATTGAAAATAATTTGTTCCTCTTCCTTGAGAGACAAAGTCGAATAAAATATACTTTGTTAATATTCAATCCACAGAGTATTCACAATATTTAAGGTAAACAGTGAACTGTTTATTTTGAGCATTCCTTCTAGTTGAACTCTTAAGAAATAAGCATGGGACAGGTTGGTTAAACTCTTTAGCCAAACAAAGAAAAACAGAAAATACTAGAGATACCAGCAACAGCATTTGTGGAGAGGAACAGAGTTAATGTTTTAGGACAATTAGCATTTTCCAGTGGAGATAAAAAGGTCAAGATGTAATCATTTTTAAAACTAGAAGAGGGGCAACATCTCACTCTGTTTGTAAATGATCGTGTGTTCAGCACAGCATTTCCCTTTTAGATTCCTTCCTCCACCTTTCAAGTACCATTGCAAACTGCATTCAATTAACTACACAACTACACATTAAATTATAAACAGGAATTCCAATGAATCAAACTTTTCATTTGGTAACATGGGGGTTGGGGGCCAACAGGACTTAGAGATAAGAATACAGCTGAGTTTATTGCAAATAAATGGGCATTGGGAATTGACATGACTATGCCTCATCAGCATAAGATCAATGTACAGCACCTCACTAGTTGGAACCCACCCTACTCAAAATAGATCTCAACATACTTCATTTGTTTCATTCAAGATAATGGAACATTCCCTCAATATAATTTCTAAACTGTTAAGACTGTGTGTCCAACAATTAGTACCGGATAGGGACAGATTTTTTCCAATCAAATATTGGCAAGACCAAAGCCACTGCTTTCAGTTCCACCGTAATCTCCATTCTCTCGTCAATGACTTCATTCCTCTGCCTTGCAACTGTTCGAGACTGATCCAGACTGCTCCAATTACATACCTGCACTATCACAAATTGATTATTTCATTGCAGCCAACTTGATCCTCTGTTCTGGTGCTCAATCACATCCAGTCCTGTTCACCAATCACTCATGCATTTGCTTCCTACAAAAGCTCACAGTCAAGCAATATCTCGATTTTACAATTCTCATTCCTTATTTTCTAATGCCCTCCTGACCGCACCCTTCCCCCGCTGTGAAATCTTCTCCAGGCCCACAACCCTCACAGATACTGGCTCTCCTCCAATTCTGGCCTTTTGAACATCCATAACTTTAATGGCTAAGCCTTCAGTAGCAAAGACCCTTCAGGTGAATAGCCAAGGTCTTTTCTCCAGGGTAGGCGAGTCCAAAATCAGACGGCATATGTTTAAAGTAAGAGCAGAAAGATTTAAAATAGACACTAAGGGGCAACTTTTTCACGCAGAGGGTGGTGCGTGTATGGTAAGAGCTGCCAGAGGAAGTGATGGAGGCTAGCACAATTGCAACATTTGAAAGGCATCTGGATGGGTATATGAATTGGAAGCTTTTAGAATGCTTGCAAATGGGACTAGATTAGTTCAGGATATCTGGTTGGATGTGACGAATTGGACCAAAGGGTCCGTTTCCATTTTGAAAAACTCCATGACTCTATGACTGGAACTCCTACCTTAAATCTCTCCAACCTGCCCTAGTCTTGAAAAAAAAAATCCAGACACAAAGTTACCACGTCAACAAACATTTTGCCATCTGATGTAATGCTGCCTGTATGTTGCTCACTAACGCTCTTGTAAAGTGCCTTTGGATTTTACATAGAAGTCACTGCTGTTCTCCATTCACTTATTTTCACAATCAGTATGTGATTTCCTCATCTCAATGGAGCTCCTCAAATTGTTAAAACTTTTACAACAGCCAATGTTACATTTTATTGTCCAATGTCACAATCCAGAGAAGATCTTTACTAACTGAAATTAATACCACTACTTTGTGAAATTTCAGCTCAACTCAAAGCTTATGAAAACTCTGCAGTTTTTGGTCTCCTTATCAGAGGAAGGAAGTCCTATTTAAAGGAGGAGTGCAACAAAGGTTTACCAGACCAATTCCTAGGATGGGAGCACTGAATTACCAGGTGAGGTTGAATTGCTGAGGATTATATTTGAATTCAGAAGAATGAGGGGGAAGCTCAGAAATTCCAGCAGATCAAGACAGGTTAGTTGCAGGAGGAATGCTCCCAATGATGGAGGAGTCCAGAACCAAGGGGTCACAGTCTAAGAATACAGGGTAATCCATTCAGGATTGACAGGAGAAGAAATTTCTTCAGCAGAGTTGTGACCCTGCAAAATTAGCTACCACAGAAAGCAGTTGAGGACAAAACATTTACGATTTCAACGAATTGGGTACACCCTTGGAGGAAAAGTGACAACAGGACATTAAATTGGATGATCAGCCTTGATCATAATGAATGGTGGAGCAGGCTCAATGGACCACTCCTGCTCCTAGTTTCTATGTTTCTTATTATTTGATGTTAGTTAATGAGGACAACATTTTGGCCACGGTTTCCAAGTAAAACAATAGTACTGAGATAAGTTACCACACGAAGAAGCATGTGCAGCATCACCTAACCGGGGAGCGGCGGGGGAGGTCGAAATTTACAATGTCTGACTTATGAACGATCGTACTTACGAATGCAATCCCACACTGGGGTGTAATTTTAACGAGACAACACAGGAGCATATCGTGTATTTATGAACAGCTGCTTTACATTGTGCTGCATTGTGTTCCAACTTGTGAACTAAATCACCTTGTGAAGGGATTCCAGAATGGAACGTGTTCGCAACCCGGAGGTTGGCTGTATGGTATTAGCAGTACATGGTGGCAATATTTTAATAGGATTGCATTCATAAGTGTCACTTGGAATATGATCCATGACAATGTAATCTGATGAGACCATCAAATTCAAACATCAATATTTAATTGTTGTAACCACGCAGCTGGAGATAAAATTCATAACAAAATCTTCAAACGGATGTGTGAAAGATTGCAGAAGTAAAAATGTGTAATTGTTCTCACATCTCACTTATGCCCAAAATTCTATAATCTTTTAAAATCTTACCAATTTGCACCAAGATTAAGCATCTCACTAATCTTAAATGCAGAGTAAACATGAAGATTTAGGCAAAGACACCATTTGGTCTTTTGCCCTTCATGAACACAACAGATGCCAGTCCTTGAAGCTCTACGGGGACCTTGGGTGCTGTAATTGGCTATGCAATTATGACTGCATTGATTGTTGGATTTCAATGAACAACGGTGTCTGGGCCCCCCCCCACCTTACTACTGTCGCACCTTTCACTTCTGCAGCTGATGAGTTGTGCAGTCTCCTTTCAATTGTTCTGCTGTTTGAGAACTTTTTCACCTATGCTTTGGCACCCTCCCTTACCTCAATACCTCTTGCCCGTATGAGCTTCCAGTGTAGATGAGGACTGGCATCCGTTGCGGTGTTCATGATGGGCAGAAGACCAAATGGTATCTTTGTTCTAATTCTTCATGTTTACTCTGCATTTAAGATTAGTGATAGTTATTGTATTCATTTCCTCCCTATCATTTTTCCCCCTTGTTAATATTTGTGAAATACTACTAATGCCCTGTACAGAATCCCTACAGTGTGGAAACACGCCATTCAGCCCAACAAGTCCACACCAACGCTCCAAGCAGCATCCCACCCAAACTCAACCCCTCACACTATCACTGTAACCCTGCATTTCCCGTTGCAAATACAATATAGAATGGCCAATCCACCTAACCTGCACATCTTTGGACTGTGGGAGGAAACCGGAGCACCCGGTGGAAACCCATGCAGGCACAGTGAGAATGTGCAAACTCCACACAGTCGCCTGAGGCCGGCATTGAACCCGCGTCCCCGGCGCTGTGAGGCAGCAATGCTAACCACTGAGCCACCCTGCCATCCTCTACCATGAAAACTATTGCAGTATTTATTCAACTCCTCTGCTATTTCTTGGTTTCCCATTATTACTTCCCCAGCCTCATTGTCTAATGTGCCTATGTTCTTTTGGGTCTCACATCTTTTTATATATTTAAAGAAGGTCTTACTGTCCATTTTTATATTACTTGTTAGTATGCCCTCAGTTTATTTTATCCAGTTTTATCTTTTGGTCACCTTTGTTGGCTTTCTCAATCACGGTTTACCATATTTCCATATTTTAGTTTCAATATTTTACCATCCTTAACTTCCTTGGTTAACCATGGTCAGTTTATTACCTTCCTGAAATTCTCTTCCTCATTGGAATAAAAAGATAATTGTCTCCAAAGCATGACTGAGCCAGCGCTAATTGGCACAGGGTTAAAACAATTAAAAGATGAACGCATGGCTCAAATTCTGGTGTGGGAGAAATGGATTTGAATTCATGCAACACTGGCACCAGTCAATAACACCT